CTGCTCTTCTGCTTGTTACTTATAGTGAGCCTAATTTTAAACTGAAAGGATGCTCTTGGAAATGCAGGTTTAGAGCAGACCATAAAACTGCACTTTAAGGACATAACATATAAGTAGTCCTGCTGGATCAAGACAGCAATCCATTTTATTCAGAGGTGGACAAGTCTTTGGCAGCCCTAGGCTGCATTAACCTTAGGTCAGGGGTAGGCAACCTCGGCTCTTTTATGACTCGTGGACTTCAACTCCCAGAATTCCTGAGCCAGCCATGCTGAGGGAAAAGGGAGAAGTTTCCAAGCTCAGCCATGCTGACTCAGGAATTCTGGGAGTTGAAGTCCACGAGTCATAAAAGAGCCAAGGTTGCCTACCCCTACCTTAGGTGAAGGCCGGGGATATAAAATACACAATGTTATATTACACTCCTGGGTAGGATGAGATGTTTTGGAGTCAATTTGCAACTTTTGCACATTTTCAGTGTGTCACATGTACAGTAGTTTTTATGTCTCCTGCCTCGAAACAATGAGAAATAACTCTCAGTGGGAAGACCCCCTAAGAGCACAAAAGCCGTAAGTCAGAATGTCCCTAAGAACACAAAAAAGGCACGTACAGGTAGTCCCCAACTTACAACCACAACTGAGTCCAAAATTTACATTGCTATGTGAGAAATTTGTTAAGTGAGTTTTGCCTCATTTGATGACTTTTCTTGCCACATTTGTTAAGTGATCACTGCAGTTCCTAAATTAGTATTACGGTTGTTAAGTGAATCTGATTTCCCCATTGACTTTGCTTGTCAGAAGGTCGAAAAGGGGATCACATGGCTGCGGGACACGGCAACCATCATCAATGTGAGTCAGTTGTCAAGCAGCCAAATGTAAGTCACATGACCATGGGGATGCTGCAATGGTCATAAGTGTGAAAAATGGTCGTAAGTCACTTTTTTCAGTGCCATTGTAACTTCGAATGATCACTAAATGAACTGTTGTAAGTCAAGGACTGCCTATATGTGCCAGACCCACTCTGCATCTAGAGATTACCTATCCTGACTCAATCCAATATCCTGTTCCTTCAGTAGGCAGCCAAATGCCTCTAGGACAGGGGTAGGCAACCTTGGCTCTTTTATGACTCGTGGACTTCAACTCCCAGAATTCCTGAGCCAGCATGGCTCAGCTTGGAAACCTCTCCCTTTCCCCTCAGCATGGCTGGCTCAGGAATTCTGGGAGTTGAAGTCCACGGTTCATAAAAGAGCCAAGGTTGCCTACCCCTGCTCTAGGAATAAAGTATGCAGGAGACATACTATTTGTTCCCCAGCAATGAACATTCATAGATGCTCTGTTGCCTCTGAATTTGGAAGCTCCATTACCTGGCGGGGATAGTTTAAGGGCTTGATTTGGGGGCCACCATTTCAAAACAAAGCTTGAAAAAAAAAATCACTTGTCAGTTTCATAAAGGTGCAGATTCCAGTTAATGAAAAAACAGTTAGAGGTGAGATTTAAAGTTCCAGTGTTCCATGAATGACCAGACCCCACCCCTGTACAAAATGTCTCCATATTTTTTTCTTGCATTTAACAAGAATACTAACTATTCTTTTCCATTATCTGCATGCATCCCTGGATACTTTTCTCAAAGTATGTATGTAAGGTCCTGTCTGCAGCTTATTGGGGTGGAGGACTTCTTTAATTTTAAAACTCTGGAACATCTGCCTTCTCTTTTTGAGCTTGTTTTCTGAGCTAGCAGCAACTAGGAGGAGTCTGGGAAATGTGGCTCATTGCTGGCAGACAGCCGATTGCTGAGTCAGCTGAATTGAAGGTGCCAAGGTGAAAGTTTTGTTGTTTTGACCTCGTCTTTTCTCCAGCTTATTTGGAGGAAAACTTTGAAAGCAGAAGATTTTCTCCCTGTGACAAATCACTGCCTTAAGTTCCATTATAAATACTTGGAAAGGAAAACATAGTGATACCTATGGCAGGATCTAAACCGGTGGTTCTCAACCTGTGGGTCGGGACCCCATTTGGGGTCGAACGACCATTTCACGAGGGTCGCCAAACAACGCAGTCTGCCATTTTTCCCCCTTTTTCCTTAGCTGTGCTACTCCCTTTTATTCTATTGGCTTTTGAAAGCCAATAGAATAGACTCTCTTGAATAGAGTCTAATTCTATTGGCTTTCAAAAGCCAATAGGAATTGTCCATGCTGTCTCTGCCCTGCTGAGCCCGCCAAAAGTCCCAGTCTGCAAACGGTGCTGCACCAGTTGAGTAGTCCTCGACTTACGACCGGTTGGGGGTCGCGGCATTAAAAAGGTTGAGAACCACTGATCTAAACAGTCTTCTGGATAATGCCCTTCCAATTGTAGAAATACCACTCTTGGCTTTCTTTAACAGAATAATAGAAGGGACCTTGGAGGTCTTCTAGTCCAGTGGTTCTCAACCTTTTTAATGCCGCGACCCCCAACCGGTCGTAAGTCGAGGACTACTCAACCGGTTGTAAGTCGAGGACTATTCAACTGGTGCAGCACCGTTTGCAGAATGGGACTTTTGGCAGGCTCAGCAGGGCAGAGACAGCCTGGACATTCCTATTGGCTTTTGAAAGCCAATAGAATTAGACTCTATTCAAGAGAGTCTATTCTATTGGCTTTCAAAAGCCAATAGAATAAAAGGGAGTAGCACAGCTAAGGAAAAGGGGGAAAAATGGCGGACTAAGTTGTTTGGCGACCCCCATGAAATGGTCATTCGACCCCAAATGGGGTCCCGACCCACAGGTTGAGAACCACTGTTCTAGTCCAATCCCCTGCTATTTCAGACAAATGGTTGTCCAATCTCTTCTTAAAAACCTCCAATGATGCAGCACCCACAACTTCTGAAGGCAAGTGGTTACACTGATTAATCATTCTGTCAGAAAATTTCTCCTTAGTTCTAGGTTGGTTCTCTCCTTGGTCAGTTTCCATCCGTTGCTTCTTGTCCTGCCTTCAGGCGCTTTGGAGACTAGCTTGACTCCCTCTTCTTTGTGGCATCCCCTGAGATATTGGAAGAGTGCTATCACGTCCCCCCTCGTCCTTCTCTTCATTAAACTAGACATACCCAATTCCAGCAACCGTTCCTTATATGTTTTAGCCTCTAGTCCCCTAATCATCTTTGTTGCTCTTCTCTGGACTCTTTCTAGAGTTTCAATATCTTTTTTACATTGTGGCGACCAAAACTGAACGCAATATTCCAAGTGTGGTCTTACCAAGGTGTGATAAAGCGGTACCAATACTTCACGTGATCTTGATTCCATCCCTCTGTTAATGTAGCCTAGAAGTGTGTTGGCTTTGTAACTCCATAGATCCCTTCATAGGATGCCCAGCTGATATGGTGAGGTACTTCAGAGAGCCACGTGCCTTAAAGACAGTGAAATCCATATCTCATTGATGAGTATGGACAGCACTGAATGAAGGCAGAGCTCAGCCTCTGTTCATTGATTAAGCTATTTCACTGAGTCTAATGCTAAGCCTGGGGTGATGGAGGAAGGGGGGAAAATAAGGCTGCCCTTGGGTTTGATTCTCTCTCTCCACTAGTCATAGATAAATAATAACAGGAAGCTGCTTCCTTTGTTCTTCTGTTTGCTTCACCAGCACTTAGCTGATCCCTAAAGACATTCTGGTAGCTAGTACAAGATTAATCAATCTCTTTTCCATCTTACACCATTACATACTACACCAATCTACATACACACACAAAACATTTGAATTAAGAACAGGGTATCTTGTGCCAGTGAATTCCTGCAAGTTGTCACTGCATCCAGTACTCAGCTTTGTAAGATCGTTACTTTCTCCATAGTAGTATGGAGATACTGTATATTACAATGAATATATGTGTGTGTGTATGTGTGTGTATAATTGTATATTATGATATATATACTAGCACGCCATATATTGTGCTTCTTTTAATAAACCTAGATAATATTACCTTCCCCTCTGGATTCTTGCACCATTTATCTCTGCTTCTTTCTATCAAAAGTTGACTGCAACTCCATGTTTGCTTATCAACTGAAGTGAGTCTCTCACTCACATCCACAGGCTGCCCAAGGTATGTATGTTTGTAATTATGAGACTTACATGATTGTCCATTTTATGCATTATAACTTGTACACAACTACAACAATAAGGATATAAAGAAATAACAAAAACCAATATCCCCTCAAAACCCAGCCCCCAACTTCCCTGCCCTAAAACATTTTTATTAAAAAAAAAAAAACAAGTACAGGTATTCAACCGTATCCTATTCCAATGCCTGGGGCAAAAGCCAGCTTTTTAAGGCTCTATGAAAGGCTAGAAGGGCAGGGGCCTGCTGGAAATCAACAACTAGGTTTCTCAAAGCAAATTCTGCACCTTTGAGCTGGCTTTCGTGGCCCACATCCAATGATTCAACAATAAATGGGATGATTAGGAAGGACAGGGGGCCACACCAATAAAACTTACTTGCTGTGAGTTTATATTATATATGTGGTGGAGGAGAGAAGCTTGGATTGACAAACTCCACCCCTTTGTCAAACTGATGGACCCATGGACTATTGGTTGGTGACCAGGGTAATGACTTACAATATGCAGATACACACTATATTTCAACAGGAATGAATGGAGAAGGGAGGGCTAATCATTCACAAGCCACTTTAAAAGGGAACCATTTGTGTGCCAGGGTGAAAGAGAGCAGCAGTATGAAATGGGGGTTGGGAATGAGAACAAAGTGTGTACCAGTATTAAAGGGGATACAGTCAAAAACAAAATAAATGCCATCCTTTTAACATACAGGGAGATTTATAATTCCTCCTTTTCTTCTCCTCACATTAAAACCCTGTACACCAGGACATTCACACAATCTCTTCCTCGGATTAATAAAACTTTGTCTTTGTTGAGTCGGGTTTTTTTAAAAGCAGCAAAACTAAAAAAAAAAAAAAAAAAACGCCCCCAACCCCATAATGTCAAACTCTTGATTTTTCTGCAAGCACCGTTTAAGGTCAAAGATCGGTTTCTCACCCCATCTTCTCCTGCTCGCCTGCCTGGGTCTCTTTCAGTTGTTCCTTTGATCGAATCTCCACGTTGCCTCTCTCTCTCTCTCTTTCTCTCTTTTTTTTTTCCTTTTCACTCTTTCTCCGGATCCGGATACTCCTCAAATTTCCTCCGGAATTTCACTTTGGAAATCCATGACTTTGTGATGGAAAAGGCGGGGTTGGATTCTGAGCTTGAAAGAAAGGGAGAGCATTACCACATGCGCATTCACACACATAAACACACACACACACACACTTCTATATGTTCCCAAGGGTGTGGGGATGGAAGAGAAGCATAAAGGATGAGAGCAGCTGCTCCGTTCGCTCCAAAAAGCACTCCTTCCAAATCACCCTAAAGGACCCCAGAGATAAGAACTTTCTTTCTCCAAAAAATCCCAGATTCCCTTTCTTCCTCTTGAGTTGGAAAGAGGCTGGAGGCAAGAGATTGTCATCTTTTGTTGTTGTTTCTGTGAACAAATATTTCTCACTCTTTTCTAGCGCTTCAGGCAAGCCGATAGCTTTCTCTGCAGAGCTTTAAAAGGAAACGGGGGGAAAAAAACTCATGTTAAAATGGAGCTGCTTACCGACTTTGTTCTTTGGTGGAAGATAATGCCGGCGGCCTTTCTTCTCCTTTTTAAATTTTTATTTATTTTAATGTATCTTCCTTTTATCTGCAAACTCCGCTTCGTTTCTATCACATTTCTTCTGAGTTATTTCCAAAGGGGCGGGCGGGGGCGGGGAGGGTGTCTTCTTTGTTGACTCTGTATTGCCATCTGCTGGAGGAAACCGGACTCCACAGCTTCTGCAGTCACGCCGGAGTCCTCCTAGAATTAAAATCTTTTTAAACGTGTCAAATATCCGGTGGGCAGAGGAAAGTTGCTACAGGACTGGAATTGGCCCTGGCCCGGCAGCTGTCATAGTTCGAACTGAAGCCATTAATAATAATAATACTAGTAAAGTTGGAAGCTACCTTAGAGGTCATCTAGTCCAACCCCTTGCTCAGGCAGGAAACCCTACACCATTTCAGACAAATGACTGTCCAGTCTCTTCTTAAAAACTTCCAGTGTTGGAGCATTTACTGCTTCTGGAGGCAGGTTGTTCCACTGGTTAGTTGTTCTAACTGTCAGGAAGTTTCTCCTTAGTTCTAGGTTGCTTCTCTCCTTGCTTAGTTTCCACCTGTTGCTTCTTGTCCTGCCTTCGGGTGCTTTGGAAAATAGCTTAATTCCCTCTTCTTTATGGCAGCCCCTGAGATATTGGAACACTGCTATCATGTCCCCCCTCGTCCTTCTCTTCGTTAAACTAGACATACCCAATCCCAGCAACCGTTCCTTATATCTTTTAGCCTCCAGTCCCCTAATCATCTTTCTTGTTCTTCTCTGTACTCTTTCTACAGTCTCAACATCTTTTTTACATCGTGGTGACCAAAACTTGATGCAGTATTCCAAGTGTGGCCTTACCACACTTCCAAGTGTGGCCATTGTTTAAAAATCTATTATTAGGAATCATAGAATTGGAAAAGAGCTTGAAGTTGGCTTATTCCAAGAAGTCCTAATTAACTGCTGCCTACAAATATCTCAGGAAGGAAATCTAACATATTCTTATGCCCTGTGGAACAGCCCATAGGATCAGAATAAAGATTAAAGTCTTTATTGTAATTAGAAGCCATTAGTCTGGATTCTGTTTTCTAGAGCAAGAAATACAGATTTTTTTTTTCCAGTGTGAGGTTCTTCAAATAACTGGCCAACTTTAGCAAACTAAATATATTTAATTTACTGTAACTTTTCTCACAGAATGCGATCAGCACAATTTTTACCATCTTTTAAAACAATGCTATCCAGCCAGCTCAGGCACAGAACATTCAACAAGATGGGTGGCAAATAAATTTAATTAAATAAATTTACTCTAGCATCCTGATTGATCAGCACTTCCAGGAAGCTGGAAAGAATGAGAACCCATCCATGCTGTTGATGTGTAGATAATGTATTCAATACTAAGTTGTATCTGAAAAATGGAAGAGCCACTTTTGCTAAGATGAAAACACAACGGTTCTTCTGGATCCTGTCTCTACCCAACCATGGTAATCAGAGGGAAAAGACAAGCCAGGACTAGGCATGAAACGTTGCTGTTTGGTAAGGAGAAGATGGTCCATACAGGAACACACACCTCTATAAATAAAAGCCAACTGGACTGGCAATTACCTTAAGATACACACTAGGACAGTGGTTCTCAACCTTTTTAATGCTGCGATCCCAACCGGTCGTAAGTCGAGGACTACCCAACCGGTCGTAAGTCGAGGACTTTCCCTGCCCGGGAGCGCCGCGCATGCGTGGTGCCACCCCCTGCGCCGGCTGAAGCGCAGCTGGCAAGGGGCAAGGGGCAGCACAGGGCGACCACCGGCTGGGCCACCAGCTGGCCCAGCCCAAGGGAGGTAAGGCACCCGCTGGGCCCCACGCGCGCCAGCAACCCTCCCTGCGCCCGCCGGCCTCCCACCTCCCACCCCCGGTCCTCCTTTACTTACATTTTTAGTAGTTGCTCAGCAGGGAGGAGTGGAAGCTTCCAGATAGCTCACCTTCGCTGCAGACAACTTGTAGCACCATTTGCAGAATGGGACTTTTGGCGGGCTCAGCAGGGCAGAGACAGCCTGGACAATTCCTATTGGCTTTTGAAAGCCAATAGAATTAGACTCTATTCAAGAGAGTCTATTCTATTGGCTTTCAAAAGCCAATAGAATAAAAGAGAGTAGCACAGCTAAGGAAAAGGGGGAAAAAAATGACGGACTGCGTTGTTTGGCGACCCCCGTGAAATGGTCATTCGACCCCAAATGGGGTCCCGACCCACAGGTTGAGAACCACTGCACTAGGACATCATTCTCCAATTACCTGGGGCAACAGGCCAGAGAGTCTGTTCTTTTAAAAGCCTTTTGCTGTTTTCTGCTTATCCCATCTCTATGTCTGATGACTGAGGTGACCTGACTTTTCTTCATGGTCATTTGGCCTTGGCCCAGCCATATTCAAAGGCAAGATACCAAGCTGTACAAACAAGCAACAGCTCATTTTTGTCTGGAACAAGAGTAACTGTTGTTCTTTAGGCTAGCTTGTAAGCTTTGCAAGATACCTGTTTATTGTTGGAAGATGCATGAGATACCAGATAGACTGTACCTGAACCAGATGGGCAGTTTAAGATTAAATCAGTGGCTATCGTCATAATCATTAACAAAAAAAAAAAAAGCTTGTCTATGGACAAGAACAAGATAATGAGGACAGATAGCACACCTGGTGATTTCTTCCATAATTTAGTTAATGACTTTACTACTGACTGGCTACTGTTGGAAACTAAATATTGGAGCACATCAGCTTTCCCCAGTTCTTCCTAAGAAAGACTTTAGGACAGTGTTTCTCAACCTTGACAATTTTAAGGCATGTGGACTTCAACTCCCAGAATTCCACAGCCAGCAACGCTGGCTGTGGAATTCTGGGAGTTGAAGTCCACATGCCTTAAAATTGTCAAGGTTGAGAAACACTGCTTTAGGATGATGAAAGATCTTTCCTAATACATAGGACAATTCCATTATTTTCAAGCAGTGACTTAATTAGTTAATTACTAGGCCTTATGGGAGCTAGTAATTTGGAGAGCGCCAGATTGGGGAGGATTCTCTTTGTCAGTGGATACACCACAATCTCAAGCAGGCTATCAGTGAGCTAAGCCTTGCCTTGCCTTCAAGGAACATGGATTACAGTGACACCTGAACCCAACCTTCTGTTCAAGTACAACATCGCAAGCCTGTGAGTCACAAGTCTCGGTGAGAACTTCATGTGGAAACTTGTGAACAGCTGAGTAATTAGTGCTCCACATAAACTGCCCCTTTACATTTCCAACAGCAAGTTTCGAGGATGCACTTTAGACGCACAAGACACGATACCCAAAGTGATCCCACCAACATTCATCTCCTGTTTCTTTTGACCCAATTAAAATAATCCGCCTTGTGCCAGATAATTAGTTTCTAAAAAAGGCTGTCGATATTAGATAGCCGATTGCTAGCGAGGTGAGAATGCTGCCTGCTCTACTTTTCAAAATGTCCTTTCAATACTTAAAGTTTAGCCTCCTGTTACCAGCGGAAATGAAAGGACAGTGAAAGTGAAGCTAAAGCAAGGAAAGGTCGTGCCATTTTAGATCCAAGGTAAACCCAGGATGTCATGACATTTTCAGAATTTTTTGTATCTGATCATACTTTTGAATAACACCTACATTTCTCATTGTAGCTTTCTCATTCTAGTTCAGTGGTTCTCAACCTTTTTAATGCCGCGACCCCCAACCGGTCGTAAGTCGAGGACTACTCAACCGGTCGTAAGTAGAGGACTACTCAACTGGTGCAGCACCGTTTGCAGAATGGGACTTTTGGCGGGCTCAGCAGGGCAGAGACAGCCTGGACAATTCCTATTGGCTTTTGAAAGCCAATAGAATTAGACTCTATTCTATTTGGCTTTCAAAAGCCAATAGAATAAAAGGGAGTAGCACAGCTAAGGAAAAGGGGGAAAAAATGGCGGACTGCGTTGTTTGGCGACCCCCATGAAATAGTCATTTGACCCCAAATGGGGTCCCGACCCACAGGTTCAGAACCACTGTTGCTAGAATGGCTAGCCTGCCAGAAGAACTAATGTTCAAAGATACCTTCCTCAAGAGATGCTCAGCAGCCTGCCTGCTGAATCTCTGCTTGATTTATGCTTTAAGCCTATCTCCTTCCAATCAGCCGTCACTTGGAGAGGGTAGACCATTCTGCTCCATTTCTGCATTAGGTACCATTTAGTTCCCTTAGTTGTTCCCAAAACAGAACGATGGGCTTTCAGAGAAGAGTGCCTGATGTATTCCTGGAAAAATCACAGGTCTGAGTTACTCACTGCCAGTCACCAAGTGGACAATTTTACTGCTTTTCAATATCTGGCTTAGCTGGCTCAGTTACTGGAACAAAATCACTGCTTCAAGAAAGGTTATTTTTGGCATATCTAAAGGAATCACCGTTTCTTCCATTTCAGAGGCTTTCTGCAAATCAGTGACTCAGAAATAAGTGTGAAAAGTGGCTTTTCCGAAGGGCAGATCATTCTTATTCTTACACATTTTAAAATGAAATCTCAGATGTAAGAACACTTGCTAGTTTTAATTAGCCAGAATCCTGGAAAGCAATCCCTACAATGGCACAGTATCCTATGGACCAGTACAATTCTTGAAATGTAGCCACAGAAATGTGTCGTCTCCTAGTATTGTAAAACTCACAGGTGATGACAAATGGAATTTGTACAACAGAGGAAAATACAATCCCATCTTTAAACAAATGGTTTGTCTAGTCTAAACAGAAAACGCTGTTCACAAACATCCTGGAATCCATACATAATACTTCTCAGTTTTAAACGGTTATACTAATTTTAAGAATTAGAAATTAGAAGTATTTATAATTTGCTGATGGTGGCATTCTCCTACAGTTCTGAAAATATGGGAAAAAATATGGAGAAAAAATAAGGCTTGATAAAAAAAATTCAAGAGATTTATTTTTCAGAACCCCCCTAAAAATGACAGGAAGAAAAGGAAGATCCATTTAGAAATCAAACACTTTTTTTCAAAAAAAAAAAAAAGTGTTTCTGTACATAGCATCCAGTTTATGGGATCAAAGAGGTGTTGAACTCCTTCCCTTGGAGCAATCTTGTATTTCAGGGTTTTTATCTGGAATTTTGGTTTCATCCATGACCAGACAATTTGAAGAACTACAGATTTTAGTGGCGTTAATGCTTGGCCTCATTTTTATAGTGCAATCCACTATAAAGGAGGAAGACATCAATGGGCTTGATTTGCCAGTGGAGATGGTCATTGTTTGTGAGGTTGAGCTTGTCTGAGTCTGCTCCAGACTCATTTCTGCACTTGCTGATTCATCTGCTGATGTTTTAGGTCCAGAGGTCCAGGGCAGGGAGATATAGCCCTTGTAAATATTCCAAGAAAGCAAAAGGAAGAAAAGGAGGGCAAAGGCAGACCCCGCACTTATTAGACTGAACAATGAACTCTGGATTCTTCTGGATGGTGCTTGCTTTGGGTTCTCTGTCTCTGGGCCTCCCAAAGGTTTGCTTTTTGGACCTGCTATTTCAGAACACACCTGGTTGGACAAGTCACACTTAGGACCGTAGAAAGTTTTCTCTGGCTGGGGCTGAAGGAGATAGACGGCTACTGTTACACGAAATTTTCTCCCACTGACGTTTTCAACAGAATGACATTCATACAGCCCAGTATCAGTAACTGTTACATTAAAGACAACCAGTCCTTTTGTATGGATGAGATATTTGGCCTCGTCTTCCCGCAAGTGGCTCTTGTTAAACATCCAGAGGAGATTGGCTATGTTGGACAAAGGTTCACAGTTAAGATGAGGGCTGCTGCCAAGGTTGACAGGGTACTTTCTGATTTTCTTTTCTGAAAAGCAAGAAGGCTTGGTGGTCAGCTTGTAGCTTCCTGCCTCATGCTAGGAACTGTGCCAACTTTCTTCACTGTCTGTACTAGCTACCTGTCACACGATCTGTATTGCCATTAATGGAAGGGGACATAAGGTATTAACATTTCAGATAATAAATACAGCAAAAGATACTGGTAAATTATACATGTTTGTGATCCTGCATAGAGGTATCCAATATGAAGGATCTTCTTACAAATAAATGGTTTTAATTTTACATAGCAGTTGTCGGAGAAAAAAAAATTAAAGAGGTCCTAGCTCCCATTCGCCTCTGCATCATGTGCTTTGAAAGTACTGCTTAAAATGTGTTGCATGGTGCTTTGGGTTTTTTAAAAATTTAATGTGTTTCCAGCTCTTTAACATTTGCAATCTGATACCAGCTTCTCTCAGTGGCAACAGTACCAGGGATTTTGCTATAAGCCAATGTACTGATTCTGCGGATGCTCAGTCTCATGTAGGAATTCCCTGGGTTCAGCCCAAGGTTAAAAATGAAGAAGCAGTACTTCAGAGAAGATGACTCCAGAAGGTAAAAGGAGCATGCTTGTCCCTATCTTCAGTCGACTCCCCAAAGTCAAGACAATTTATATCCAAAAACAGCATGCCTTTTTACTCAAATAATGTAAGCTCAGAGAAACAGCATTTTAGACTCACACACATACAAACTGCAAGACTTTCAGTGTATCTCTGGAAAAAAAAAATCACAGCCATCCTCTGCTGGATTGAAAAGGAGATGAAAGCACTTAAACAAGCAGGCAACAACCCTCCCGAGTCTTTCAGTGAATTGCTATCCTATATTAAAACCTACTACGGTTGTCTGTACTGCTGTTTTTAGCAATGGATAAATGGTTTAGATTAGAAGGACTTTCAGTTCCACTCTGTGCTATGAAATTATTGGGACAGGATGGCATAGTGCTCATGAAAAATGTAGTTATGATCTTTATGCTGGAAAGAATTCAGGTCCAATTAAACAGTTCCATGGGTCTGTAGAGAAACATTTATCCATATCTGCGCAATGGGGAGAGGGAAGAAGAGACCATTATTGTAGTTACTATGGAGAAATACCATATTTGGAGGAGAGATATTTTGCTGCTACACACCCACCTCTGACATTACTGTTGCCAGGCAAAGTCAAATAGCAAGGTGATCCCAATGCATTAGCATAACTCCAGGTCCTCTGCTGTGGTTTGTGCCTGTGCCTGCACATATTCACGTTATATGAGAATATGGAATAAATATAAAGCCATTGGTTGGGCCCCCAAAACACCTTTGTGGGCATCCACTCAAGAAGCATATCACAGAAGAGAAAAGGAGGGAAAGACAAATGGTTGACACACTAGGAATTATTGGAAAACCATCAAGCGGAATTTAAAATGAAATCAAGAGAGCAACTAATAACAGAGGGATATAGTTATATCATTTATAATTATCAAAAAGATTCAAAATGAATAAAAAAAGCTTAAGGTATACTATAGAGCAAAGTAAGGCAGAGTTTGAAGTACAATTGTGCACTGTGATCATGAACATGTAATTGCTAAAAGGTATAAACTTTTATTGAAATTTGAAACAGAGGAAGAACAGATTAAAGCCTATATGATAAAGTTGGCTAAGAATTCTGGTTACGACATACAGATGAATCAATGGCAAAAGGGTTGAAATTTACATTATGTTATGATCCTAAAGGGAATGCTTATAAATTAATATACTGTTGGTACATCACACCAGAGAAATTAACTAAAATGTATAAAACTATTTCAAACATAGGTTGGAAATGTGAACAACATAAAGGGACATTCTATCATGCTTGGTGTATATTTAAAAAAACTAAAAAATATTGGATTTGTGATGCTTGGAGTCAAGGAAGATTATTTCAATATTTGATTATTGTAGCGAGATTGTATGAACAAAAAAAGAAAGATTCAACAATATTCACTATGGAGGAATGCTTTGTGAAATTAACAGATCTTGCTAAATGGATAAATTAACTTCTTCAATTAGAGAAAAGACGTCTTTATTGGTGACTGGAAACACAATTATGGTGTAAAAATGAAAAAAATGAGCATATGGTTTTGAAAATTAGATAGGACATATTACAGAAAAGAGGATCATGGTATAACTTTAGAAAGAGATTTTAAAATATAATTATAATTGCTGTGGAGAATATCTGAAGTTTGTATCCTTTTCTTTCTTATTTTTATTTTATTTTTTGGCATTTTTGGCTTTGTCTTTGATTTCTTCTTTTTTTCTTCCTTATTTTATATTGATTTGCATTAATGTTTATCTTTCTTTTTTAAATTTTTAATAAAAATTACAAAAATATGCCCTTAAATATATTCACGGCACATTTGTTGCATCAGATCACAATCTGAATACTTGTTTATATAGGATAGACTTTTTTTTTCTTTAAAGCCATATTAGATTACTACTTTTTCTGTTTCTTCTCTACATTTATTTCATTGCATAAGTAATATAGGCTGTCCTCATTTAGCAACCGTGATTGAGACTATCAATGTGGTCATTAGGCAAAGTGATCGCTACGTGAAACGGTGATTATGCTTATGATCTTACTCCAGCTGCTCATTGCTTTATAGAGCTGCAAAAATTATAGATTCAAGGATTGGACATAAAATTACTTTATTCAGTTATTGTTGTAATTGAACAGTTGCTAAATGAGGCAGTTGTTAAATAAGCACTACCTGTAATTAAACGTTTTAATTCACCTAATTTTGTCTAAAGAGCTTTTCTCCTGCCAATTAATGACATATGACAATCCTTTCTATTAGTTGTACTCCCAATCTCTTTATAAAATTTAGAGTATTCTGCATTTTTTCCTCAAGCTCATTATGTGGCACCCAGACAATGGTTGAATGTACACAAATATCTTAAAAAATCGGATACACCCTCTAATCCAAGAAGCATTAGACAGCTGAGTCTGAGAGTGATCAATTTAAATTTTTCACAGTATATTAGAATGATGTTACATTATAGACATCATGGAAAATTTAAGTGGCAGCTTCCAGATCAGCATGGATTAGAGTACTAATAATGTCTTTGTTTGAGAGAAAGCAAGCATGGCAGTTGTCAGCAGTTGATCCTATTTAGACACTAAAGGCTCAGAAACTGCCCAAGGTTATGGAGAAACTGTTACCAATGTGTCCTTTAGCTTTGGGTAAAATTGGTTTAAATAATGAAATTACCTATACAGCAAAAGAGATAAATCCGCTTTAAGCAATTGAACTTTGAGTAAATGAGGATGGATTATAGCATTTAATGTTAGATGATTCACATAAACATGGAATAGTTGTATGGTGCAATTTATCTTATTATAGCAACAATTTTGTAACTAAACAATAGTCACTGTTTAGAAAATATATGTTGCCATGAGAATATTTTTTTTTTAAAAAAATTCCCCTACCTACTTCAGGACACCTGTAGATATCACCATTCTTGATGCTCTGGATTAGATCTCTTAACAAAAGAAGAAAGAAATTATATAAACTACTTCATAGAGATATTCAAAAACATTAAAAGCAGACAGAAATCTTCTCTTTAAAATCTACTTTCGGCCTTGAAATGCAGAGAAGGAAGTCTGAGAATAGCAACAATCAGAAACTCTCCTCCAAAGAGAGGCTAAGAAAAATTTGCTTCAATGGCATAAACTAGATAGAAGATGGGATGTACCATTTGCAGCTGGCACTTCTGCATGGGTTTCACATTATTCCTATCCTAGCTTTTCTGCTGAGCAACCAATACCCATCCCCTGTTTCCTTGGCATTTCCCTCTCCCTGCAGCTGACAAGCTATCTTATTGCCTCAAGCTCAGTGTTGAAGCCTCATCCTAACACCAGCACTGCAAAGGAAAGACAAAGGCAGGACAATGATTTTGGCCCCTCCTCACTAGACAGTTGGAGACAATGGGGCTAGTGAATGCTTGCAAGCCCCGCAACAGGGATAACCATGGGTATCCATGCAACTTTGTCAAAAAGTGCCTAATCACTCAACTCATTATACCATATCGGAGTGTTAATTGGGAGATGTTCAAGGCATAATTTACAGTGAACAAAACCTCCTGACTCAGGAAAATCTGTGATATACCAGATGGATCTGTGCAAAGACTCTCCTAGCCAGGGCTTTTGTCTGTTTTTAAGGATGAGCTAAGTCTAGGAGAACTCAGATATTACAAGCCAGCTCTGCACAGGAAAGTATGAATCCAAACCAAGTGGGAAAGATGAAATATCTCTGGAATTTGAGGGTTTCCCTCTTCAAAGCTCTCAATTCTGTTGGGATTTAAGTCTATACCTTATTGTCTTCATCCAAAAGCTCACAATCTCCAGACATATTTTAAAGCTTGTTTACACAATACGCCAACCTATGGATGGGCTGACACAATACTGTATCATAAAATAACCCAGCATTAAAGGATAAAAGAACTGATAGTCCCAAATGAAATCAAACCTTTACTATGGTCAAAGATCAGCATAACGTTTGCAGTCCAAACAACATTGCCAGGCAACATAGGTTGTGTTGAAATTCTCTTAACCTCCCATTCTTTTCAGGGACTTATTCATCCAGTGCAAAACATGCTCTTTTCAAATGGGAAACACTAATAGAATAACAGCTGGAAGGGATCTTGGGGGTCTTCTCCTCAAGCAGGAGACCCTCTACCATTTTAGACAAATGGTTGTCCAATCCCTTCTTAAAAACCTCCAGTGATGGAGCACCCATCCACATCTTCTGAAGCCAAGCTGTTCCACTGATCAATTGTTCTGTCAGGAAATTTCTCCTTATTTCTAGGTTGGTTTTCTCCTTGATTTATCCTTAATTCATTGTATCAGTAAAGTATTTTGTGAATTGGGGAAGGTTGTGAAGGGCTCCTTAGCTGTTCTGCTTTGTCCTCAGCAGGACCTGGAGGTTCTAATAAAACTCATTTTTTTCATGGTCACATGCTGTACTGGTTCCCCACCCCAAAAGCAGATAGGGAGAAACAACTTCAGCATAAAGTCATCTAAAAAAAATTGAGCTTGTTCCCCTATTCAGAATTCTCTCCTACAATAAAAGCTGAAAAAGCCTCCTCAGAGATAAAAAAAAAAAACGAGATTCAATCGGAACAGCAATTCCACTGGAAAAAAATATTAGAATCCTCAGTAGTACAAAGGCTGGCTGAAGCTTCCATTGCAAGTAGTTCCTCAGTTATCAGCTAGGGAAAAAAATACCTACAGGGAGCTAGCTTCATCACTTCCTGAAGAAAAATGAACAATTTCACCAAAAATAGACACAGCAAAAACAGACAATAGCGGGCAGTTTCTTTGATTTGTTTTATTCTGTTGCAAGCCAATTCAGACAAAGCTTCAAAGCAAACAAAAGATTAAAAATGTAGAGTAATGTATACATTTTAAAATCTGAATCAAGTCTCATTACTTGTCCCATTGATTATATTACTCACTGTGAATGCTCAAGGTGGTTAGCCAGGAGGATACAACTGTGAAGAGAGAGGGACCATGCACAGTAGGGATCTCTTGCCAAGATACAATCAAAGCATTGTTTATACCAGCTGCAAATTGCAACAGGGAGCTGTACTAGCTGGGAAGGAGAACTGGCATATAACAGGCCCTGAAAAGACAGCACTAAATGGTTATCTTTTTTGCTAAATGATATTAAAAACCATTCAATAGATAAATCCAAAAGTTACACAATGAAATGATACAGAAGGGAAGGGTGTCATGCTGAATAGACCAGGACAATGTTGTACCTTTAGAGAGGCTAGTTTGAGTATCTGTACAGGTTCTGCTGATGGAAACAACTGTATTTCTTCCAAAATAATAATTTCTCCATGACAATTGAGAGCTTTATGCAAATAGCCCTTATCTGTATAAAATAAAACACAGTTAAATCTTAGTTGCTTTATGTTTTATAGATGTATTAGAAACTCATGACCCAAATTGTATTTCTTTAATAGCAGAGCTTAGTTATTTTGTCTGGCTAGTCAATAAATTGGGATAAATCAAATCTGGTGACAATTTTCTAGTCAATCAAATAGCAAAATTCTAGTCATAATGATGACCAGGGAATTTGTTTGTTCAAACATTCAACTTTCTCAGATCCTCATGGGGGTATAAATAGATGTTAACCCTGTAAGGTAGAGTAGTCCAGACAAGAAGCACAAAGATTAGATTAACAGAATGTTGTAAGACTGAACTTTCTCCCCTCCTTCTCTTCTACTCGCTGGAAAACTAGGGAGGGATCTTCTCTGAAACTTTTCTGACACCATCTCCATTTCCATGGGCTAAGATATCATTTACATGCTGGTTGTCTGTGGCTCTCCTTCCTGTCTCCCGAAGTCATTCCCACATATTACAACAGGATCTACTGGAAAATACATTATAGGGAGCAAAGACTTCATCTATATTTTCTATGAGATATCACTAGGAAACCAAAAATATATTATGGGTATGATGTGCTAGTATAGAGGTGGACTAGAGCTGTTGTTTACTGCTCCTTGCTTTAAAACACCTAAAAATTATTGAAAGCTGACAAGATAGCATTTTTTTTAAAGTACTGTGGAAGCAGCATAGTAAGTGCCTTACCTGTCCCTAGGAAAAAGATGTCATATGTGACATTATCCAAGTCAGTGGCTTGGCTTATTATGAGTTGTGTGTACTTGGTACCCCTTTTCAGGAAGACAGGCTGAAGACCAACTGAGTTTACAATACTGTCCAACAAAGGGTGGTCTCGGGCAAACTGGAGGACTTTGTCTGGCAAGTCAATTGAAGAGGTGTACCCCAAGTGTAGAGCAGAAACATTGGCACACTGTAAAATAATGAACAAGTGGGTTATGTATTCCGTTTATTTAGAAAATCAGCTATTACTACTTACCAAGAGGAGTATTGATAAGGAATTATGTAATAGACACTTGATAGCTTAACACATGGTAGAGTCTGGGAATGGGTTCATTTAAGGAGTTAAATTCAGTGTAATTACCACATATTATCCAATATTATTTGTAAATGCTTAAATATTTGAAATGTTTTGTGCTATAATGTCATTCCTGTCAAAGGGTTTTGCCCTATACATGCTTTGTAAGATCTCTGCTTGTAGTTTTGATTAAGAAATGGCAGAGCCAAATGAAAAGTACAATTAATCTTCTGATAGCAGCATCTGTTACTTAAATATGTTAGCCTGCAGGGTGTGAAAAATATTTTGAATAAATTCAAACTTCCCTGTCTTGAACCAAACCATATTCATACTCATCAAGGAAATGCCTATTCAACAAGAGAAATTGAGACTTACAGCCCCAGGACGAGGACTTGGAACATCTCCTCTGTACACCACCCATTTCATATGGGAATTTTCCAAAGCAACAGGACCTTTGTAGCTTCCTTTCAGAAATATATCTTGAATAGTCTCCATCCGGAATGCACAAACAGCTGAAATATCCAAGTTTCCCCTTAAATAAAGAACAAAATAGAATTCTGCAAAATAGAATTCTGCATTCTTTCTCACTTTTTGAAAGTGCAAAATTATCTACCTTAATGCAGAAATATAGCAAAAATATTCTGTGCTCCAATGGAATAATGTGAACATGCTGAAGGTAAAACTACCCTTCGTTTCACTTGTGGTATATTGGCCAAAATGAGTCAAAATTAACTGGTATTGTCCTTACTGCCAGAGATATTGCTGCATATAGCAAAGAGTGACTAAGCCTGATAACGTATTCTACCTCTTCTATATCTTTCCAAAAAGCATTAGGTAAGAGCTTGCCACTTGAATGTAAAAGGAATAAATAATAAAATAACATAAAGGAATTAAATGCGTGTTATGGGTTTCTTAGCCTAAGAAAGTGGGTAACAGCTTGCAAAACATTAGCTCAAATTTCTGTACATTTCTCCATTATAGAAAATAATGTCACTTACTTGATGGCCATATTACTATATTAATAAATCAAACGTTATGACAATATTTAATGTGATCAAAGAACTGTATCTGTGAACAGCCTGGGCCTTCAGCTCTTTAATCCGGTTGCCCCCAACCTTTGGGGCATCAGGGACTGGTTTCTGTGGAGAAAGGTTTTTCTGTGGACCAGAGGGGGCGTGGTTTCGCATGCTGCCTGCATCCCACAGATGGGGCTTCGCTTGTTTGTGTGGCCCAGTGCTGGTCCACAGACCAGGGATTGGGGACCCTTGTTTTAACCTATTGCTGTTCTAATTAAATCTATTATCTTGCGGTCTGGTTATTCTTTTCTTTTTTCCTTCCATCTTTTTCAGCATTACAAACTTCTCCAGAGCTAGATCTTCACATAATTTGTCCAAAAAGGTGATAATTTGAGCCTGATTATTTGTGCCACCTTGAACAAGGACTCTGGATTGATTTCTTCTATGATCCATTTGTCTATGTATAAATGATTTATTTCATCTTTTATTGTATTGAGCTTTCATTTCATATTACTTACATTCCATACTTTTGCTGCAGCTTCAATTTTCTTTTCCTGTATGGCAATATCAGCAACTAGAAGTCTTGAAGGCCCTAATCCAGTGGTTCTCAACCTTAATGCCACAACTCCCAACTGGTTGTAAGTCGAGGACTACTCAACCGGTCGTAAGTCGAGGACTACTCAACTGGTGCAGCACCGTTTGCAGAATGGGACTTTTGGCGGGCTCAGCAGGGCAGAGACAGCCTGGACAATTCCTATTGGCTTTTGAAAGCCAATAGAATTAGACTGCGTTGTTTGGCGACCCCCGTGAAATGGTCGTTCGACCCCAAATGGAATCCCGACCCACAGGTTGAGAACCACTGCCCTAATCCATCTGTGTCATAAACAATACTGGTACCCCAAAAAATCCTCAGCTCTTCTTCAGCAGCAAGTTGAGTGCCATCTGACCTGAGAGGTCAATCGTCCAGCACTACATCCTCAATCACTTTATATGATTTTTTCATTGTAGTTTTCTTGGCATATCTTTCCAGTGCTCTTTCCTCATCTCTTCCAGGCACACAAACACACATGCACATATATACCACAATGAGGCAGTGAAACCAAGCAGCTTACTGGTTTTTACTTCAAGATTTCAGTTGCTGTTTAATCCCATCATTAAAGTTTGGGTAAACTTGAGCTAAGGTCTAATCTAGGATTGAGCTAACATTTTTGGCTTGTAGAGTTACCCTTTATTTCTAGAATTATTTTAGCCCTGGAAGGCCATCACCAGCAACTAGTAATAGGGGAGAGGTCTCTAAATGAATGGAGCTGAAATTTTTCTGTTCTTTTTGGAGGGTTGAAAGGGAGGATTCAAGCAGCTTTTGAGGGTCAAAGTAGAAAATTTAATATAATTAAACTTTAACTGGGCAAGTGCTATGAGCTTCATATCTTAGGTGACCTTGCTGGGAGTAATACTTGGTGTACACACTGTTATTTTTTGCCTATCTCTCCCAGGAACATCTTGCCCCTGCCATAATAGGACAGATTAGCAGGATTTGCGGGAGAAATCATAGTATAGTATGCTTATTTCTGGCTTTTTTTTTGTATGAACCACCTTCATTTAGGTTTAATGTATCAATCTGGCAACTATGGTCTGTTTAATAAGCAAGAATTCAAAATACGATTTTATACATGTATAATAATTTAATCTTGAGGTCACCAAAACATAAATTAAATCATTTGCACTTTATTGTCCATGTCATTCTAGTGATGATTGAGAACAGTATTCCCTAACAAAATTAGGGAGTTGATGCTGCAAAAGTATTCTGAGCAGAAGCAATATGGCGGCCATAAGATGATACAGCTGTTTTTTAAAAAATTCAGGACCATTGGACTGGTTTAGCTGCTGCAATAAATTTCCCAGTTAAGCCTCCTGAATGTTTTATAAGAGTTCACAAATCTGAGTGATTTTGACCTTTTATTCTTTATGCCAGAGTACAATGCAACACTAATTGAATCGAATGTTATACCTTTACCTTAACTTGCATCTGTATTTGCCAGTGATTATAGATCTTGCCTTAAACTATGTGATTACCATTATACTTCCAATATACCCATCTTTCGTGGTTAATTTTAAGAGGGAGATTGAAAATGTCTTGGAGAAAAACTCTTACCATTGCTGGGTAAAAATCCCATAAATTATGGTTTCCTGCCAGTTTGAATTCTTGACTACAAAGACATCATGAAGGATATTAAATTGGAATTGCAGTTCAGGAACAGAGCAGAGAAGGGTAGATTTTAAAAATGAAGTCCATCTTTTTTTTAACGTTCGCTTTCCACCAAGATCACCCTTGGGGGGGGGGGAAATAAATCCTGTTACAAAGCTACTTAGCAAAATGTTCAAAAATGCTACACTTGTTTTTTTTTTAATGAATTAATACATTATTTCATTGCTTTATGAAAACAAATCAAGTAGTTGGATAAACACCACTGAAAAATGAATCTAATAGATCCAGAAGATGCACCAAGAGAACCGTGAGCAGGGAAAATAATAAACACAACAGAAAATATTCATAATTGATTTGGAACTGAAATGTATGGATGTTTGATTTCCTAAATACTAAACCTGTGCAAAGCTTCAAAGGCTAACTCCTCTTTAACAAACGACCAAGTAAATGTTGCTTTGATACAGCATTAGAAGTGAAACTTCCCTTTCTTTAAAACCCACTTCTAGGAGCTGGTATGCCATGTCAAAGCAGTGTCCTTTAGCAATCTGTTATTCATATCTGCATTTGCAGAGACAAGTTGTTGAGCAAAGCAAAGAGTCTTGCCCTGGTGCTTTAATTGGTACAGGACTACAGGTTTTAGGCGTAGTGTGTCTCAGTTCTGTATTGTGGCATTACTCCACTGTTTTGAATTAAGGTTGGTGAAAAAAAGGAGCACCACTCCACACTGCCACACTAAGACATTTTCAGGACTGGGACATCTTGAGTAGGGAAACATTAGATATACATATGTAAGATCTATAGAATTTCAAAACTTCTCTTGATGGTTAGCCAATTGAGAGCTAGCTGCCTGTCTTTTTTCCTCTTAATACAGTAGCGAAAAGGAAAAATTGTGTTCTCAAGACAGAATCAATAAAGAGTTTTCTTCCTTAAAGAGATGGGAGTACAATTTATTTCTCCTAATTCTGTTTTTTTAATGAAAATATGAACCATTTCCTATCAGCCTAACATCTCCACTGACTCAATTTTTCATAGTCTAATAGAGAAGAAAATGAAGAATTCAAACACGCACTTTGCAGAGTTGAGCTACTCGTGACACCCGAAGCTTATCATAGAACTCAAATTCAATAGCAGTTTCCGTGAAGAACACAAAAATTCTGTCAGAGTCAGAGACTGCTTCATTTTCCTGTATAAGTTCCATATCAATAAAAGTAGGTTCTGGAACAGACAAAAACAAGCAAGACTGCAAAGAAAATCCAGCAGATTTTAGGACTTTTGTGGTTGTAATCTATAGTTTTAGCTAAAGGAAAAATACTGAGAAGTCATTGCTATTCCATTTTTCTCTTTAAAATAATCAAAATGTCCAGTAAAGTGTGGGCATTTATGGTTTTATGAATTCAAATGTTTTAGTTTAAATCTTTAAAAACATAATAATCAAATATATCAAAGTTCAACGGCCTAGCATCTAGCTCCTGCATTGGCCAAATATGATTTTGATTTCCACTTTCCTAGAAATATTCTTTACATTTTTTCTTCCCCAATGTATCAAATAGCAATCCATCTGGCCTGATTGCTTTTTCCTTCCCATCAGTCACCTCTTTATATACCGTTGGGTATCTTTATTTAAACCAATGCACAATCTATTAGTAAGGTATAATTTTTCAGCAGGTGCTGAAACTTGCATGAGTTAAAATGAGGACATGAATTACCTCATGGTGATATTTTAAATCCTTTCCTTTGCGCATATTTGCTTGAGTCCCTCCCCTTTTCCAATTTTACTTCTTAAAAATTGGGGCACAGCAAAAATTAACACAAATTAACATGTCACCGAGCTATACATGAAAGATTAATCTTTTATAAGAAGGATAATGGGTTATTACCCATATTAAATGAGAGCAATTTTGCCCTTTTAAAAATAAAAGCACTGTTTATAGAAACTAATTAAATCTCCTTGCATCTTGTTTCTGTTATGTCACAAAAAGAATAAGGAATCCTGCTGGAAGTAAAACTGGTGACAAATAACCCTGTCAGTGGATTAAAGAACTTTATTTATGGATTCATTATCTGATTTTGAAGCAATTAATTAAATGAAATAAGTTTATATAAAGCATCAGGGATGGAATCCTTGGGAGAACCTTGATGTTGCGCTAGAAGGTTATAATTAAATTTAATAAACAAGTATGCCATTTTTCCTAAGAGTAAAGGACACACACTGTGCTACTCTTCTGACAGTTTAGCTTAGGACAGTCAACAAAACAATTTGTAGTTCAGATACTATAAAAAAAATCAAATAGCTTTGATAAGATTTAAAATGCACTAGGGATAATTGAGGACTTAGAGGAGGTCTGAGGAAGGAATCCAAGGCAAGGCACAGAAGAAATGGCATAGAGTCAGTCCTGGGCTAGGAAGAACTTGAAGGAAATTCAGGCAGGAATTGAGAATTTAAGTAATATGGAACTGAGTTCAAAAAGGGCTAATCAAAAATGTCCGTGAAGAAATATTATTGTGCTAAAGAACTGGAGAATTCTGTGTTAGGGGAAAATAATGAATATCAAAGATGTAAATAAAGGGTATATCTAAAGGAAACAGGCCAAACCAGGTACTTTTCCAAAAAGCAAGAATCTAGCAAAGCAAAACGTGATGGAGACATAAGCCATATTCACCTGTAATGCTATCCCAGAATTTTGTAAACCACTGTTTGTTAAGTCCAGGTGGGGATCTTGCCAAAACTTTATTGGATTTGGCATTGTAAGGAAGAATGCAGGAAGCAATGACAAGCTGTTTCATTAAACACAACAAAAATATTTACAGAAAGAGGTTCAACAAAAAGGAACAAAGTCACCTTTTAGGGGAGATGGGCAGCATAGAAATATAACAAATAAATAAAATAAAATAATAAAATAAAATAAAATAAAAACTTGATAAGATCCCCATGTCTGGAAGAAACGCTTTGACTATTGGAGATGAACTTCACCAAGTAGGTCTAAGCAGTATGACATGATTGTATTGAAGCCTTCCAGAGGTTTGGAATTGACATAGCCAGGATTAAAAGAAAAACACAGAGCATATTGGAGAGGGGACGTTTCCAATTATACAAATTCAAAATAATCTATGCTGGAATTGAAACTTACAGAAAAAAATGGAATGGCATTTAATGTTTGTAAGTCTATTACTGCATGTGTAATAGGATTCAGCCCAGTCAGTGACATAATAATTCCCATGAAGATTCAAAAGTGACAAATTAGTTTCATAATTACACTGGTATATGCTCCAACAATAGATGCTGAAGAAGTTGTTGAATGAAACAAGACATAATGGATCAAACCCCAAAGAATGATGTTCTATTCATTATTGGCAATTTTGATGTAAAAATTGAAGACGGTCTCTACTGAAAAGTGTTAGAACATATGGACTAGGAAGCTAATGAGGCAGGATAATGACTGATTGATGTCTGCACAGAAAATGACTGTTGACTGCTAGCATTCTGTCAACAATTCAAATGAGAGTTTTGTATCTGGATGTCTCTGAATGGACAACATCATATTCAAACTGATTATGGGCCATCGAGTTGATATCAGCTCTTAGTGACCATACAGAAAGATCTTCCCCAAGATGATTTGCCTCCAACCTCATCCTTTAGGTCTTCACACCTATATAATTGACCCTATAACTGATTCCATCCATCTTGCTACTGCTCATTCTTTTCACTTTCCTTTCATCTTTCCTTGGGTTATAAATTTCATAATATGTCTGCAAAATATTGAGTATAGTCATTTGCATCTTGAGAACTCTGCATTCATTTGTTTCTATGATTCATTTATTTGTTTTCTTAGCTAATCATGGTATTCTCAGAAATCTCCAGCACCAATGTTCAAAAGTACCAATACTCTATTCTATTTTTTCAAAGTCCAACTTTTGCTTCCAACAAAATATCACAGGGAGAACTGTTGCCTGCATAACTCTCAATAGCTGTAGATGTAGGTAGATCATACATATTTTTTCTAAGACCTTCATTGCTGCACTACTAAATGTTTATGGCATGTTTCATGATTGTTGTTTATTGTTGAAATTTATTCTAAGGCTGATTGTTGTACTTGTTATTACATAATCTAATTCTAATTGATATTATTCAGTCACTGTGCTATGTCTATATATAGTCTTTTCTATATCCTTTCTGATTATGAAAGCAACACCATTCATTCTATGATTTTTGTGCCCTGAGTAGTAAAGTGCATAGTCTGAAAGTGTCCAATTCCACTCAGTTTCAATTCACTGATGCCTGTTATTGATTCATTTTAGCTTTCAGTGTGTTGAGCCTTCCCACATTCAGGCATTTACACTCAAAATTCCCACTATAAATTTATTTTTGCAGCTTCAGGTTTTATTTTCCCACATGGCAACATCAACAACCAGATGTCCAGAAGGCTTTGGTCTGACTGTGTCATTGATACTACAAAGGAGCCTTAGCTCTTTCTCAGTAGCATGTTGAGTATAATCTTAAAGATTCAGGTTCATCATCCAGGACTATTTCATTAATCACTTTATATTGCTTATCCAAATGGTTTTCTTAGTAAAACACATTTACTCTTGTCTTTTCCTGCACAATATGAAATGATACCTTTGCCATTGTCATTAAAAAGATCATTTGCCTCCAGCATCTTCCTATATCACTTCATGAGTTATGTGACCCACTAGAAGTATACATTCTTTGTATATACACTCCTGAAATTCTTCACTCATCCCTCCCAGGAACTTTTCTTTATGCCACAATGAGGTATCACAGTAGTACTTGGGGGAGGGGGGGAAATGTTCAGAGTAGATTACTGAATTAAAGCAGGAGTACACAGAGTCTGAAACAGAACTTTTGTTTTCTATAACACTCCAACTCTGAAAAAATGAATCTGTTTATTAATTGCTTTCCTGATAGGGTGGGAGAAGACAGGATTAGCTTACCCTATTCCTAACATTAATCAACTGGGGAAAAAAAGAAGACAATACTGTTTTTGGAAAAGAAGCAAAAGGATCCTGTGAGAGAATCCAGTGAATCTCTTTCCTTTTCCTTCTAGGGTGTTCTGAGTGAGAGTTATAGAGCAATTAGCCAACTTGTGGACCAAGAATGAATGGGGATGGCAGCATGTCCATTATTTTAAAATCTTCTAAAACAGCCTTTATTCCAAAGCTCTCTAACTAAAATCTGCAACAATTCTATTATACAGCTGTTTTTGTCTAAAGACTAGGTTATAATTTCAAGATATTTTCTTGAGCTACATTTATCCCTGATAAAATTGGAAAAGAAGACTTATTTTTTCAATAAAAAATTACTTACTTATTAAGCTACTACCAGAGCTCCAATATGCTCCTTATAGTGTTATTTTCTCATCAAGCAAATTTGTCTAATGCTGACAACTTTAATTGTATGTTAAAAATTTGATTTGTGATAATGTGTGACACAGGCAGCTGAAATCACAGTAAAGACTAACTTCCAAAAGAAGCCCCACTTGCTCCATTAATTTTATACAAAATGTCTTACCATTAAGCCAAGATGCTTTATATTCTGTCCTTAAAGGATTCCTGAAACTCCGCAATATAATTGGCTCTGTACCCAAGAAGTTATTTGAAGTAGCTGTATAAAGTGCACCATCTGAGATGAAGCAAATAAAAAGATGTATCTTTTTAGCCCTGCCACAATTTGCAAAAGGAGATGGGTATATTGTGTGAGCTATAGCTCAAGGATAGCTCACAGATAAATATAGAAGCAAAAGCATAGAAGACGTGTGAGCCATGTCAAATCCTGGCCACTGCTACAAATGGCACCTTTGGAATTTAATAACATGCATGTGGGTTATGGAAAGGTCCATGATCAGCATCAACAATATGATGCTGGACTAGGGTCTCATAGCTCCTTTTCCTTTAAAATAAAAATAGATTAAATATGGTTGTTTAACATGTGAGTAGCCTAACATTAGTTTGAGCTACAGCAGTTCTCCACAGAATGATGAAGCATGCACAACTATTAAACCTGCTTAATCTAATTTTAATTTAGCAAGTTAAATAAATGTTGCTATACTTCATGGCAAGACATAAAGGAAGTAGAAGAGGAAAAGGTAGATAAAGGTTGATATGTGGTATTAAAACAGAACAGGAGCATCATTAGAAAAATTACACTTTTGTAAGGCAAGTCAGGATTATGAGTATTCAATTGCTAGGAATTGAATCTGACTCAATGGCACATAACCAACCAATTTTTAATAAACAACATGAACACAAAAAGCCATCCTTGCATTATTGCAAGTTCAATAGCATAGCTTTCTTCATCTTAATATGAAAATACTAGTGCCAACATTAAGGATTGGCAAAGTCAGTCCCTCTTACTCCACACCAACATCTGTTCCTCCTCTTGAGCTTACTATTTCTCCTTCTTGCTATTGTTATCTGTTCAATTGTGCTTGAAGGTGACTTAGCACTGACAGGAGCAAGAAAAATGGACTGAAGTCAGAGAAAGGAGACAGCTACAATAATGACGACTATGTGGAATTACAATGGAGGTGGGAGGAGAGAGTTGAGGGCATTTTGCTTAAGAGCTTTGTACAGCCTTTAGCCGAGACTGACACTTTGACTGCTGTCAGCAATTTAGCTTCCATTGCAAACATATGGCTGACAGAATGAAGCCATGGTCAAACATATCAGCAAGTTCCAAAAATAGAGGAAAACAAGCAGCTAAGTTTAAAAGGCTACATTGATTGCCAATGACAATAGAAAATGGTTTGAAAAGAGTTTTTGTGTAAATATATCAGCTTCTTCTTTAATTTTTTTAACCAAAAAGCTGCTGCTTGCAGAATAGGGTAATATCCCCCCTCCCCACTATGATCTATAGTATACAGGAAAGAACAAAGGTGAAATGAGACAAAGTTGAAAAAGAATAAATATGTCATTAGCATCTTTCAAAAATAAATTCCTACATCAGCCAGCTATTGAGGAAGAACTGATATACAGGTGGATTGCATATGCCATTAGTTTCCTGATAGCGTTTTCAAACCAGTCTTTTATTCAAAGACTGATAAGCAACATCACATCTGAAATATATTCATTCTAATTTGAGTAATCAGTGCTTGACAACCATGACTAAATAAAAAAGATATCAAGAAATTTTTCAGGGCAAGGAGAAAACTTACCGACCATTAAAGAGGCATAACTCACAGTTGGTTCATATGGACATCTTCCTCTGCTTTCTGTAGCTCTTGTATACAACTTTAATTTCATATTGTCAATTACCTATTTTAAATAATTCCCAGAGAGATGTATTAGTGACAATGTTCACACTTCTTGCTAAACCATGGTTTACTTATCCATTAAAAGATAAAGCCCCTTGACTCCATTCAACTTCCAAGCTGAGCATGAATCTGGATGACTGAAACAGTGCTTTATATGAAAGCAAAGACTAAGGAGGTTCTATTGAGAAAAATCTCAAGACTGGAAACCAAAGTCTAGGATGCTCTCCATATTCTGATGCTGTAAAAAGTCCTGTTTAGCAAAAGGTTGAGTGGAAAAATGTAAGAGAGTCCTAAAGATCAACTGACAGTAGTCCATCTGCCATCTCCACTAGCTGTCAAAAATCTATCCTAATTTTGCCGTTGATTGAATTGTGAAAAAATCCATTCCTTTGAATGTACGTCCACCCACTTGAGCCAGATTTCTGTTAAATGTCAAGACCTAATATGCTCTAAACTAGGAGAGAAAGTGAGAATCTGATCACAAAAAAGAATGGAAGTCTTATTTATCAGACAGCATAACTTAAAGTCTCCTTGGTAAGACTCAGTAACTAGTTTTGATTATCTTAACATATAATGGATTGAACAGACTGGAAACTAAATGATCCTATGATGACTGTATGGAGTTACTATAGGATTCCAAAGCATTCCCAAGAGTATGTCATCTTTCATGAGCAATGTACTTCTCATCTCCATGTACTAACATCAGAGGTTACAATAATGCATTGGAGGATCCATAAAGGTGTTCATATGAAAAGCAAAGGTCAGCCACCTCTGAAGGGAAATGTTTATCAGTATGGAACCAGAATAAAATTATGAGAGTATTTTCACTTCTCAAAATTATGTCACTATATACCAGTGATGGTGAACCTTTTAGAGATCGAGTGCCCAAAATGCAACCCCAAACCCATTTATGCATCGTCGGGTGCCGGGTGGGTGTGGCCCATTGGATGGGTGTGGCCCATTGGTGGGCGTGGCTGCAGTGGTAACAGCAGACTGGGACTAAAAAGTTCAATCAATCAATTCCAACTTTACAAGATCTTTTTTTTTCCCGTGAGAAGTTGAAATTCACTGATTGATTGAACCTTTTTTTTTGTACACGGCAGTGGAGGCCTAAAGCGAAAAGGTTTTATAAAATCCAGCTGAAGGCCTAGGACTGGAGTGAGGGCGCACATGCCCACAGAGAGGGCTCTGAGTGCCGCCTCTAGCACCCGTGCCATAGGTTCGCCACCACTGCTATATACCATCATTGAGCCTCTGTAGGGTGGCATGCAGAACCTAATACTGTAATCCTTTCCAATATTTGTTTTCTGTTCATCTGAAGAAAAAATACAGCCAAATATATATAAGTATTTCAAATGTATGATGAAAACATAATTGTAAAGAAGGAATGTCTTATCATCTTTGATGGACTTGTAATAAAACAAAGTAATATTTGGGCCAGATTTATATTTTAATGCAGAAGTTTCTTAAAATGAATATAAAATTGAAACCAGATATTTTCCTTTTAGGACTATTGGACAAAGAACTTGAAAAAACTCTGGAAGTTTTTTTTGCATATGTTGACTACAACAAGAATTGTTTATGTGCAAAACTGGAAACATGTATTAATCCCCACAATGGAAGAATGGATGGAAAAATTGATGGAGCTAGCAAAGATGGATAAAATAACTGTTTTAATCAAAGAAAAAATATACCCAACTTTCTTTCTACTTTGAAAGGCTTCTAGATTTTGTGTTTGAGACAGAAAAAGAAATGAAATTCTGACTGGGATTTGCTGATTAGATAAGTTTATTGTTATAGAAATGACTAGTTTATAGTAAATATGTAAAAGTAAAAAATTAAGGTTTGCCTTACTATTTTTATTTTATTATGCTGAAAAGGGTTGGAAGTTAACATTTTTTCTTTCCTTTTTCCCTAACCCGCACTTTTTCCCTCTCTTCCCTTCCACATTTCCCTAATATCTTTATTTTCATTTGTATTTTATATTATGATAATTTCAATAAAACTATACTTTTTTAAAAAGAGGAAAAAATATACAGTTGAATACTTAAACAGCTCACAAGTGGTGAAATCTATGTGAGGGAGCTGTAAGGCTCTTCTCTAAAAAATTTTATGGCCCCTATGTCTATTTTGCCTTGTTGTAGAGAGAAGGACAGCAGACAATGGAAATTATCCAGATATGAACACAGTTTCCTGCAATGAACATAATTTCCTGCAACTGTAATATTAATAAAGACGTTTGTTCCAGAGAATATTAATTATTAGAAGTGAAAACTCATACTCAAAGATGGTTTTAGTAAGCTGAATGGTATGTGAAAACAAGTCTCCGAGAAATCCAAAGAGGCTTCTTTCCATACCATTCCAGAATTTATCTCATTCCACAGAAAATCTGTAATCTCACATATTAGTCTAAGCTGGCTCTCCAACCCCATTAATTTTTCTTGAATGGAATTTTAAAAATTGCAGAACTTTTGTGAAGATGCTATTTTATCACCTACAGTACATTAGGAGGAGATGTCATTCATCACTATGTGGCATTTCTCTGGAACAGCAGACTTGGGAGAATAGAGAAAACAGTTGGAAGGATGAGATATAACACTTACTGTACATGCTTTCCAGAGGGTATTCGGATTCTTTGATCTGATGTTATTTTGGCTTTCTGATGCACAACGATTGTAATTGACTTGTTTGGTCACTACTGTTCCTAATTAAAATGGTGAGGCTGTTGCTGTTTTGTGAGGGATCTGGTCCCAGCCCATGAGGAGTATCTCCTTTGACATAGGCAAAGGAGTGTGATCAAAAAGAGCAAGAGGATTGACAACTTATTCCTAAATTGCAAGTCTTTTTCATAATATTTGCAAAACCTTTTTCTTAACAGTTATTAATATCATCCATATTTCCATTGTGGGGATTAGTGATATTCCCAATTTCTCAAACATGATAACTAAGGGTTGCTTAGCTAGTTCAAATACTATGATAAATTAGAATTCTTATAAAGAATTTATGACCCTTGTTTAGGATAACATAACAATTTTAAAAACCAAGTAAAAGAAATAGGATGAATATGGTTGGATCTTGTACTATCTTTTGTAAATAGTACCATTTCCTCCATTTTAACAGGGCGAAGAAAATTTTTTGCAATGGATAGTCCTAATGGTAGTCCTCAACTTACAACAGTTCATTTAGTGACCATTCAAAGTTACAATGGCACTGAAAAAAGTATATGATCATTTTTCACATTCATGACCATTGCAGCATCTCCATGGTTACATGATCAAAATTTAGATACTTGGCAACTGATTCATATTTGATGGCTGCAGTGTCTCAGGATCATGTGATCACCTTTTGTGATTTCTGACAAGCAAAATCAATCGAGAAGCAAGATTCACTTAACAGCCATGTTACTAACTTAACAACTATAGTGATTCACTTAACAACTGTGGCAAGAAAGGTCATAAAATGGGGCAAATGTTCACTAAGCAACAGAAATTTTGGGCTCAATAATGGTTGTAAGTCGAGGACTACCTGTACTTGCTTGTACAAACCATTGAGATGTGTATTCTACATTACTTATTTCTAGCATTCTTATACTATTTTGTAGCCTCCTATGACTCAGAAAGTGGCTTAGGATAAATACTATGACTAAATGACAATTTGTTCCCATAAGTAAAAGACATATTGCAATATCCCCCCAAAATATGCTATGAACTTACCATGTAACGACAAGCTGGATGAAATGCATTTGTGCCACAGACATATAAATTTGTTGCATTTATCTTATGCATAATAAGTATATAGTTGTTGCATTCTGCCTGAAAAATGCACACAAATGATTAACTTCAAAAACTGCAATTATATTCTCAACCTTATAAAACAATTCTGCTGTTGAAGGTAAGCAAAGACTGGCATTGTAAGATCCCTGGGCAGGAGAACAATGCTTGTCTTCTGGAAAGAACACAGGGTGCACTTTTCTAACAAATGCACTGATAAATAGTGCAGTTAAGTAATTTTAGGACACTGGATGAACAGGAAAATTATTTATATGATAATGAGTTTTAATTTCTCTCTTCAAAATATATTAAATTACTTCTAATGTATTTGAGACCCTTTTACTGATTCTAGCGAGAAAAAAAATGCATTTTCTCCTTCAAACCATATATTAAGCCCTTGCTCTTTTACTATTTATAGATTGATTTGGCTTGATCCCAGTGCTTAACATGGTTCTGGACAAGCTGGCCCTTCCCCTGAAAAAGCAGGTCCATGACTTAAAGGTTCTGCTAGAATTGCAGCTACTGCTGAAGCAGCAGAAGGAGATAATAGCCATAACTATTTTATTCTGGCACTCTCTTCAGGTGAAAGGGGGTCTAGGTTTTTATCAAGTAGTGAGAAGTTAGAGTGATATAGAAATGTTGCAATAAATAAATAACACATAACCATACTTCTTCCTATATAAGATAATTCACAGTTTTCCCAATGTTTCCTATATTTCTATTCAAAACTGTGTTTTTGGAAGAGTTCACAAAGTAGTTTGCAGTGAAGCATAAATATATGTGTACAGGTAGTCCTCGACTTACAACCACAATTGAGCCCAGAATTTATGTTACTAAGTGAGAAATTTGTTAAGTGAGTTTTGTCCCATTTTATGACTTTCCTTGTCACATTTGTTAAGTGAACCACTGCAGTTGTTAAATTAGTAACCCGGTTGTTAAGTGAATCTGATTTCCCCATAGTTTGTTAGAAGGTTGCAAAAAATGGTCACATGACCCAGGGACACTGCAGTCATCATAAATATGAACCAGTTGTCAAGCATCCAAATGTAAATCATGTGACCATGGGGTTGCTGCAACAGTCATAAGTATGAAAAATGGTTATGTCACTTTTTCAGTGTAACTTTGAACAGTCACTAAATGAATTGTTGTAAGTCGAGGCCTATCTGTACTTAAGAGGATCTAAAAATGTAATGTTATTCTATTTAATAATTAATGGCCAGGATAATCTCCAGACCATGCATATTACTACTTGGATTTGGAGATGGATGGAAAGAAAAGGTTCATAATTCAGTGGATTTGTATTAACATCCTCACCTGTTAAAGACAGCAGCTGAGGGAAACAAAATCCTAACTCCTAAGTGAAACAAGCGGATGGGTTTGGAAAGGGTACTTTGAAGAACAGAGCCCCATTCAGTAGCAGAGCAGAGAGTATACATGAATCAAGTTCTCAGTTTCTAGCTGTAGTATTCCCATTCAAAAGATTTTATGAAAGAAAGCTAAAGAAGAGGAAAAATTAGAGAGTTTCTTGCTAGAACAGAGTTCAAAAATACTATTTAGGCTGTCAAGTCCAAAATATGGCTCTGTGAAAAATAAATGCAAATTAAAACATCTTAGACCGATGACAGTTTAGTTTCTGCTAGAACATTTCCAGTGAGAGAGACCCTCTGTAGGTAATTGGTCTCACTGCTGAAAGCTTTTGCTCTTAGGAAGTATTTAATTAACTTATTTAAAAAACTCATATAGCCTCCTATCTGTTTATCATAAATCTTGGCAGTTCACAAATAAGAAAAAACACAACACCTATGAAACCACAACAAAAGCTTCCCTGCGCCCAAAAGGCAACCCATTTCATCATCACACAAATATTCACATTCAGCTGCAGCTTCACACTACCCCAGTGCTTATGGGAAGTACTAGCTCTTCAAGGCCTTATGTCAGGCTAGGAGACTTACATTTTCTAAATTTTCTAATATCTAATCATGTCTCCCCTTAGCCTGATTTTCTTAAGACTAGACATTCTTAATTCCTTTGTTTTTTCCCCACAAAACATAGCTTCTAGTGCTATGATAATCCCTGTTAGAATCCTAGAGGTTGAAGTTACATTTAAGTTAATGACATTCTCAATGCAGGAATCCAAATTTCAAACACTATTGAATCTAGTATTGTAGGAAACTGATGAATGTATTACCATCCTTTTTGTCATTTTCAGCAAATCTTGACTGGATCATTTGATACATTTAAAACCAGTAACTGATTAAGAAAGGAAGTTTGATGGTCAAGCTTCGAATGTTTATATGGGTCTAGTCCAGTGATTCTCAACCTTTTTAATGCCACGACCCCCCAACCGGTCGTAAATCGAGGACTACCCAACGGTCGTAAGTCGAGGACTACCCAACCGGTCATAAGTTGAGGACTTTCCCTGCTCGGGAGCGCCACGCATGCGTGGTGCCTCCCCCTGCGCCGGCCGAGGCGTAGCTGGCAAGCGGCAGAGACGGAGCAGGCCGACCACCAGCTGGGCCATCAGCTGGCCCAGCCCAAGGGAGATAAGGCACCCGCCGGGCCCCATGCATGCCAGCAACCCTCCCTGCGCCCGCCGGCCTCCCACCTCCCGCCCCTGGCCCTCTTTTACTTACATTTTTAGTAGTTGCTCAGCAGGGAGGGGTGGAAGCTTCCAGACAGCTCGCCTTCGCTGCAGACAACTTGCAGCACCGTTTGCAGAATGGAACTTTTGGCGGGCTCAGCAGGGCAGAGACAGCCTGGACAATTCCTATTGGCTTTTGAAAGCCAATAGAATTAGACTCTATTCAAGAGAGTCTATTCTATTGGCTTTCAAAAGCCAATAGAATAAAAGGGAGTAGCACAGCTAAGGAAAAGGGGGAAAAAATGGCAGACTGCGTTGTTTGGCGACCCCCGTGAAATGGTCGTTCGACCCCAAATGGGGTCGCGACCCACAGGTTGAGAACCACTGGTCTAGTCAGAAGTAATAATAATAATAACAATAATAATAATAATAAAGTTGGAAGGGACCTTGGAGGTCATCTAGTCCAACCCCCTGCTCAGGCAGGTAACCCTATACCGTTTCGGACAAATGGCTGTCCTGTTTCTTCTTAAAAACTTCCAGTGTTGGAGCATTCACTGCTTCTGGAGGCAGGTTGTTCCACTGGTTAATTGTTCTAACTGTCAGGAATTTTCTCCTTAGTTCTAGTTCTAGTGAGAAACATTTTGGTGATGTGGTGAGTTAGAAAGTCATTTATCCCTAAATTAACAATGTTGAAGCTGTTCTTCAACTGACTCCAAAAAGGAGACCTAGAAATGCCTGGCAATAGTTGACTGAGACCAGTTTTTTGATCTCAACGATTTGTGTGAACTTCAACTGCCAAATTTTTTTCAGCCGTTTTAAAGCTGCAGAAGTGGAAAAACTCTGGTTTAGACTATCCGTTCCCATCTTCTCAAATGAACGAATTCATAAATAGCAGTAGTAATAGACAAACACTACTTCAGTAACTGAAGTTCACTTTTTTTATCAAGCTCCAGTGTTAAAAATTCCCATTTTTATGGTGCTTTGTAGGAAAATGTTTTACAAAATGACAACTGGTGACAATACTTGAACAATAATAAAGAAGGGCAGATGCTACCACAAGAAACCAACCTCAACCATGGAGCATAAATCTTTAGTTACCAATAATGGAGAAATAAACAATACCCCAAATCAAGAAACTGCCAAAGAGCCAATAGTAAACAGCCCAAGCAAAAAAACCTCTAAGACCGCTCCCACCCACACAGACAGGGCAAGCCACCAGAATATAAACTGACAGCAAACAGCACTCCTTACTAGCATTGATGAGGTTTCCTAGTTTGGGTAATGCAACGTTTTGAAGAAAACAAGCAAGCTCGGAGAGCACTAAGGACCCCTCATGTTTAGTTACTAAATGGACAATACCATCACTTCATTATTAGCTGCTAGGCAAGCCATAGAATTATATATTGACCACTACTGAAATGATACACTAACCAACACACAACCAAACACTGCAATCCAATCCATCCAAGTATTGTTGATGGCAGATTATTTGTCCTGAATGCAAAGACAATTTATAGCAGGCAAAACCAATAGAATATACAAGACTACCAAATAATCCACTTTCAAATAAAAGGAGGGACTCCAAACTTCCTGTAACCTGGTCCAATCTAATGAAAAAATTGCTCCAAGACTTCAGACACCAAATTCAGCTCATATTCCTTTCTCCTGAGATAACTAGTGTCTAGCAGTCCATAACACAAGACTATCTGAGAACTAAGAAGAGGATAATGATGTACAGAGGGAGCCCTTGTTTTCTTTTCAGGACTGTAGAATAAGTTTTGAAAGAAACATTCAGCCTTTCTGTCAATAAGGACTACTCGGGGAAGAGAACTACTGGCCTGAAGAAATTAGTTTTTATTTTAAGGCCAACTTATTGGTCAGGTATCCAAGGCTGGGGAGCTATAAGATTCCAAGAAGCCTTGTGTTTTGAGAGAACAACTGTCAGATTTCAAGATTAACAGCTGACTGCAGGAGATTGCTTCTCAAATAAGAGCCAGAGTTTTCAAAAATGATAGACAACCTATAGTTAGATGGGCTAACTAATTGGAGATTAGACATTTTCCTGTAATGATAGCCTCCTGGACCACCAGGAATGAGGAATCTGACTTCAATATGGACATTTTCTTTAGTTTAAAGGTAGGACTGAAGATTAAAACAGCCAGTTGTACCTCCTAAGGAGATGGAAGTCAAAAATGATTTACGTTTTCCCAGTTTGTAACTTGTACCATATATCACTAAAGTTCTCATTCTACCTAATATTTGCCCCCAGACCATTCTTTCAGATAGTCAAAGGATGCTATCATATTCCCTCTCATGTATTTTCTTTTCTTATTCTCTGATCATTTCTGCTGAAGGCAGGTTCCTTTATATATTGCCAACCACAGATACTAGCTTGACAGGTAGGACTGTCAAGCACAGGAAATCAGGAGTACAGGCGGTTCAAAGGAATACAAAGGTTTGTTGCAAGCTTAAGCTCTCTACAAGAATCTGAATTACTAACGGTCAAAGCAAGTTGGAGGGAGAGAAGAGTCAATGGAATTCAAGGTGGGCTGGACTTGGATCTCTTGTGGATGCGAAGAGACTTGAGACTGATGACACATTTGACCCCTCCCTCCAGCTCAGCCTGGTCATCTCTTATAAGGACTTTCCTCATCAAATCCCCCACTATTTTATTAGTGTTCCCAAGTAATTTCTGCTTGAGATTTCAATTCACATTTCACATTTCTCTCAGAAAATGAAATTGTTAAAATCAATTTAAGACTAGAACATTGTATTAGTTTACCAAAATATACAATAGTACAAAGAAAAATGTAAATAATGGGAAAATAAAGGAGGAAAAGTGTAGGGGAAAGGGGAAAAGAAGGAGAAAACATTGACTTCTGGCTCTTTTTGGTACAGTTGAATAAGGTAGTAACATAAAACCTCAACTTACTTTTATATGATAATATATACTAGCCATTTCTATAACAAATCTATTTATTTAAGCCTGAAGTGCAACCATACTCTATCTCGGAAATCAATTTAATATTTTCACCAAGGCACACCTTGCTTTTTCCTTTGCGAAGACATTGAAGCTTACTATCCTCTGAAGCAAACCAGGATACCTAGGAATCAAAACAGGCAAATGAACATATTAAAATCTTCCATAAAGTAAACATGCTGAGTCAATGCTATTGTTTCTAGCCAGTTCCTTCAGTTAGGCATACCCTCTTTCCTATAGGACAGTGGTTCTCAACCTTTTTAATGCCGCAACCCCCAACCGGTCGTAAGTCGAGGACTACTCAACCGGTCGTAAGTCAAGGACTACTCAACTGGTGCAGCACCATTTGCAGAATGGGACTTTTGGCAGGCTCAGCAGGGCAGAGACAGCCTGGACAATTCCTATTGGCTTTTGAAAGCCAATAGAATTAGACTCTATTCAAGAGAGTCTATTCTATTGGCTTTCAAAAGCCAATAGAATAAAAGGGAGTAGCACAGCTAAGGAAAAGGGGGAAAAAATGGTGGACTGCGTTGTTTGGTGACCCCCGTGAAATGGTCGTTCGACCCCAAATGGGGTCCCGACCCACAGGTTGAGAACCACTGCTATAGTAATAGTAATAGTAGTAAAGTTGGAAGGGACCTTGGAGGTCATCTAGTCCAACCCCCTGCTCGGGCAGGAAACCCTACACCATTTCGGACAAATGGCTGTCCAGTCTCTTCTTAAAAACTTCCAGTGTTGGAGCATTTACTGCTTCTGGAGGCAGGCTGTTCCACTGATTAATTGTTCTCACTGTCAGGAAGTTTCTCCTTAGTTCTAGGTTGCTTCTCTCCTTGATTAGTTTCCACCCGTTGCTTCTTGTCCTGCCTTCAGGTGCTTTGGAAAATAGCTTAATTCCCTCTTCTTTATGGCAGCCCCTGAGATATTGGAATACTGCTATCATGTCCCCCCTTGTCCTTCTCTTCGTTAAACTAGACATACCCAATTCTCGCAACCGTTCCTTATATGTTTTAGCCTCCAGTCCCCTAATCATCTTTGTTGCTCTTCTCTGTACTCTTTCTAGAGTCTCAACATCTTTTTTACATCGTGGTGACCAAAACTGGATGCAGTATTCCAAGTGTGGCCTTACCAAGGCATTGAAGAGTGGTATTAATACTTCACGTGATCTTGATTCTATCCCTCTGTTAATGCAGCCTAGCACTGTGTTGGCCTTTTTGGCAGCTGCAGCACACTGCTGGCTCATATTTAGGTGATTGTCTACTAGGACTCCGAGGTCCCTCTCACAGTTACTACTATTGAGCATGGTGCCACCTATGCTGTACTTGTGCATTTGGTTTTTCTTGCCTAAATGTAGAACCTTGCTTTTTTCACCATTGAATTTCATTTTGTTAGTTAGTGCCCAGTGTTCAAGTCTGTCCAGATCCTTCTGTATCTGAAGCCTGTCTTCTGGAGTGTTGGCTATTCCTGCCAGCTTGGTGTCGTCTGCAAATTTGATGAGTTCCCCATCTATCCCTTCATCCAAATCGTTGATGAAGATGTTGAAGAGTACTGGGCCCAGAACAGAGCCCTGGGGCACCCCACTACACACTTCCCTCCATATAGATGCAGTTCCATTGAGGACCACTCGCTGAGTACGGCCGGTCAGCCAGCTACGGATCCATCTGGTGGTGGTTCTGTCTACCCCACATTTTTCTATCTTGTCAAGTAGTAGGTTGTGATCTACTTTATCAAATGCCTTACTGAAGTCCAAGTAAATTATGTCCACAGCATTCCTCTGATCCACTAATTTTGTCACTTGGTCAAAGAATGCAATAAGATTTGTCTGGCATGATCTATTTTTGACAAACCCATGTTGGCTTTTAGTAATGACTTTGTTTGCCTCTAGGTGTTCGTTGATTCGTTGTTTGATTATCTTTTCCAGGATCTTCCCAGGTATTGAGGTCAGGCTGATAGGTCTGTAATTTCCTGGATCCATTTTTTTTCCTTTTTTGAGGATGGGAACTACATCAGCTCTTTTCCAGTCCTCTGGTAGTTCCCCTGTGTTCCAGGATCTTTGAAAAATATAGTTCAGTGGCTCCGATATCACATCTGCCAGTTCCTTGAGAACTCTGGGGTGTAATCCGTCTGGTCCTGGCGATTTGAACTCATCTAGGCTGGACAGGTGCTCACTAACGATTTTCTTGCCTATCTTAACTTGTGTTTCTGTTTTGTTTTTTGTGGCACTATTTTTGATAGGTTGGTCTGTTTTTTCCCTTTGTGTAAAGACAGATGCAAAAAATGAGTTAAATAGTTCTGCTTTCTCCCTGTTGCTTGTCACCTTCTTGCCACTTCCACCCACTAATGGACCAATCATTTCCTTCACTTTTTTCTTGTTTTTTACATGTTGAAAGAAGCTTTTTTTGTTATTTTTGACTTTGGTCGCAAGCCTCAGTTCATTTTGAGCCTTGGCTTTCTTCACTTCATCTTTGCAGGCTCGGGCTATTTGCTGATATTCTGACTTAGTTATGTTCCCCTCTTTCCACTTTCTATACTTGTCCTTTTTATCTTTCAATTTGTCAGAGAGTTCTTTATGCAGCCATGCTGGTTTCTTTTGAGAGCTGTTATTTTTCCTCTTTGTTGGTATTGTGCTAGACTGTGCTTTTATTATCTCATTTTTCAAAATTTCCCAAGCTTCTTGAGTTGTTTTCCCCTTGAGGATTCTCATCCATGGAATCCTTCCCAAGCCCTCTCTAAGTTTATTGAAATTAGCTCTCTTGAAGTCCAAGACTCTAGTTTGACTGTGTTCTATTGGTTGTGCTTCTATAATGTTGAATTCTAATATTGCATGATCACTTCCTCCCAGGGTTCCTATGGCTCCAACACCGTCTATCATTTCATCTCTGTTAGTGAGAATTAGATCCAAAATGGCTAATCCCCTAGTTCCATTCTCTACTTTTTGGGAGACAAAGTTGTCTGCTAGGTTTGCCAGGAACCTGTTTGATCTTCCACTTGGTGCGGAGTTTGTCTCCCAGTTGATGTCAGGGTAGTTAAAGTCCCCCATTACTATTGTGATGTGCTTCCTACATACCTTAGTTAGCTGACTAGCAAAAAGTTCATCTATTTCCTCTGTTTGGTTGGGTGGTCTGTAGTATACACCTATGGCAATGTCATTCCCCCCCCCTTTTATATTGACCCAAATGCATTCAAGACAGTTTTTATCATTGTTGTACTCTATTTCTGTGAAGATGTAGTTATTTCTTATATAGAGAGCAACTCCACCTCCTCTTTTATTTGGTCTGTTTCTTTTAAATAATTTAAATCCCTCTAGCTGTGTGTTCCATGTGTGAGTTTCATCCCACCATGTTTCCGTAATGGCAACAATATCGTATCTGCCCTCATTAACCTGAATTTCTAGTTCACCCTGTTTGCTGTTCATACTTTGTGCATTGGTGTATAAACATTTGAGTCCTTTGTGGGTGGCCCTGTGTTTCCTTTCTACATAACCTGTGTGGTGCCTGAGTTCCCCTATTGTCTTACCACCTATTTGGTTAGTGCACTTTATATGGCACTCGCTATTAGAGGCTTCATTTTGATTGGTAGCAAGGTTGGTATTCTTGTCCACACACACATCTGTGCTACATGCACTGATAGCCCTATAGTTTTTAAATTGCCGGGGACAGGGTTGTTCCGTATCAATTAACTCCCTGTCCCCGCTGTTTAGTTTAAATTTCCCTCCAGAAAATCTGTGAATTTATAGCCGAGTAACTCAGTCCCTTTTTTTGATGGATGCAAACCATCTCTTTTGTACATCTTTTGATTGGACCAGCTACTGACATCGTGACTAATATATCCAAAGCCTTCCCCTTTACACCATTCCTTTAGCCACATATTGAATTGTGCTATGCGCTGGCCTTTTCCGTTTTGCTCCTTATACACTGGTAAAACCTCTGAGAAAGTAAGCCTACAGCCTATTCTGCTAAGTTCCTTCCCCAAGCTCTGGAAATCATTCTGCACAGAGAGTACATCTTTTTGGGACAGATCATTAGTGCCAAGGTGTACAATAGCCTCCACATCACAGTCCTTGCTGCCATTCTTGATTATTTTAGAAATACGCTTCTTGTCCCTACTGGCAGTAGCACCTGGAAGACACCTGACCTCTTTCAAAGCCTCTGTGTCCTTTCCTAAATTTACATCCCTTATAATTGAATCACCTACCAGAAGGTAGCTTCTCTTTTTGGGAGCCTTTCTATTCTTGCATGACTGATGTGCAATACCTGATTCACACTTCTCCCTATCAAAATCTAGTTCTTCATCTCGGACCACAATCCCCTGCTTATTTGAGTTATCTTCACAAATACCTTTACCAGTCTCCTTAATGTCCCTATTAAGGTCAGCAAGAGCACTGTAGCTGTTGTGCAGGGACACAGCGAAAGCTTTGTGTTTATGGTTCACAGCTCTCACCCTGCCAGATCCCACGGTTGTCCACACTGCCCTTTTCCTGCAGGATCTTTGTGGTAAAGGGGGCTGATAGCAGGGAGGCTTACTAGAGTAGAGGGGCTGAACTGGACACCTAATTTCTGCCCGAAGAGCACGGATTACAGACCCTAGGTAAATGATCTGTCCTTGTAGGCTAGTGATTTGTTTACAGATAGGACAGTTTCCAAGTTTGAAAAGGGTACTGCGAAGGACGGCTGCAAAGCAGGTGTTGCACTGAACTAAGCCGGACATCTTAGATACAGGGGATGTCAGACACACTTGCCCTGAATGTACTGCTACTGTTTGTGATTTTTAGTTATATAGTTATATAATTCGCGCGCCGTTAGGCGCGCGGGCCGCTACTTTCCTGGTGGATTCTCCCAAAACTTACAGTTTAAGCAGCAGCTGGTGGAATGTAGCACGTTCCAGCAACCCGATCAGAGTTGGAATGGGGTTTAAATAGAGTATAATACCCTATAAATATAATGGAGATCCAATCAGGGCCTTGCTACTTTCCTGGTGGATTCTCCCAAAACTTACAGTTTAAGCAGCAGCTGGTGGAATGTAGCACGTTCCAGCAACCCGATCAGAGTTGGAATGGGGTTTAAATAGAGTATAATACCCTATAAATATAATGGAGATCCAATCAGGGCCTTGCTACTTTCCTGGTGGATTCTCCCAAAACTTACAGTTTAAGCAGCAGCTGGTGGAATGTAGCACGTTCCAGCAACCCGATCAGAGTTGGAATGGGGTTTAAATAGAGTATAATACCCTATAAATATAATGGAGATCCAATCAGGGCCTTGCTACTTTCCTGGTGGATTCTCCCAAAACTTACAGTTTAAGCAGCAGCTGGTGGAATGTAGCACGTTCCAGCAACCCGATCAGAGTTGGAATGGGGTTTAAATAGAGTATAATACCCTATAAATATAATGGAGATCCAATCAGGGCCTTGCTACTTTCCTGGTGGATTCTCCCAAAACTTACAGTTTAAGCAGCAGCTGGTGGAATGTAGCACGTTCCAGCAACCCGATCAGAGTTGGAATGGGGTTTAAATAGAGTATAATACCCTATAAATATAATGGAGATCCAATCAGGGCCTTGCTACTTTCCTGGTGGATTCTCCCAAAACTTACAGTTTAAGCAGCAGCTGGTGGAATGTAGCACGTTCCAGCAACCCGATCAGAGTTGGAATGGGGTTTAAATAGAGTATAATACCCTATAAATATAATGGAGATCCAATCAGGGCCTTGCTACTTTCCTGGTGGATTCTCCCAAAACTTACAGTTTAAGCAGCAGCTGGTGGAATGTAGCACGTTCCAGCAACCCGATCAGAGTTGGAATGGGGTTTAAATAGAGTATAATACCCTATAAATATAATGGAGATCCAATCAGGGCCTTGCTACTTTCCTGGTGGATTCTCCCAAAACTTACAGTTTAAGCAGCAGCTGGTGGAATGTAGCACGTTCCAGCAACCCGATCAGAGTTGGAATAGGACAATTAACACATAAAATCCATGTCTTAAGATTTTATGGCCGAGATGATATCAGACCTAGTGATTTTAAACTAGAAATGGCTTCTTGTTTAGGCTGAGTATTTTTCTGAAACATTTTTTTTTATCTAGTTGTATCTCCCAGCTGTGACTCTCTACTCCAATTTCTGTATCAGTCTCTAGTTCTCTTTCTGACAATTGCCAAGGGATTAGATGGAAAGGGGGAGAAAAATATCCTATAAGCCCAAGATGGTTTGGGAGAGGGTGGAGTCTCTTTTTTTCAGGAATAGTAGGAGTTCCAGGAGCTCTGGAGCTGCATATTGGCAATTGGCAAGAGCAAATAGGTAAGATTAACCTTGTTATTCTGTTTATAACCAGAACAACACTGACACTGATATCCCCTACACTCCACTGAAAATGTTACCTAGCCTGGTAATGAAACGTTCGAAAGCCAGCCCACGAACTTAGAGAATGAACCTTCACCCTCATGCTATAACTGAGCTTCAGATATTTACAGCTATTGCAAAGATTATCCTTCTCTGGGTAACAGATTTTTGCCAATAATGGTAATTTGCAAATAATGAAGGGCCTTAGCTCCATTTTATAAAATCAAAAGAGTCAAGCCAAAATCAATGGAAATATAATGTCCACAGGACCCGCTTAGCCTCTTAGGTTTTACATAGTTCAGCTGTATAATTTCCTGTTTGGACACAGCCAGCTTCATTTTCTGGTATTCTTAGCAAAAATGACCAAATAACAGACAAAACCCTGACAGCTGCTGCCAGTGAGAACAGTCATTAGGCTAGAGGATAAACTGATTAAAAAATAGTTTCTCTGTCAGCTGCTGAGATGAGCTATATGGTACTAATTGTGTTTTAGATCAGAAATTCTGGAAGCAGGGATCAGCCAGTGGGAAGCAAAAAGAAATGCAAGAAATAGTTTTGATTTTTTTGGTGCTTCAACATTGAATCAGGCTGTGATTATTATGAATATAGCCTGTTTGCCAGTCTCTACACTTTCCATGAGTGAGAGGCATGTCTCATTATCTCTTTGCTTCTTGAAGCGGTATTATCATAATGACTTCCAAATTCTTTTAATTACCAAAAGATCAGCATAGAATGTGACAGCTCTTTTTCTCTCACACAAACAGCAGCTCTAGTGGGAAGATGCGAGGAAAGTGCTCACTAGAACATAGAGGACAATAGGAACTACTAAAGCAGGACCAGGGTATGAATGTACAGGTTCAACTTGGTGTACTGTATCACTTGTGCTGCATCAAGCACTATGAAATATTGAGTTTTCAATCTGACAAAATCAGACTAAATGTTCCATTTTATCTTAAATATTTTGTGGGCAGGATGGTGTGGAGTGACAGTCAAGCCCCCCTATCCCTACCTTCCCCCTACCCTTCAGGTAGGACCCCTTCCAGTCAGTAATCCTTTTCTGGATAAAAAAGCATGGGAGGCACATTCCTTGTTGCCCAATGATATACTGTTTCACTTGGAGAAGAGTTTTAATAGCATACTAGATTCATGCTTTCAAGAGATTCCACTTCTCAGTGACTAAGGATATGCTTCGCACTTTTTTAAAATTACATCCTGCTAAAATTTCCCTACCAATGGGATTAGAAAGGTTTCTGACATTACAGGGAATTTCTGTTGGTTTGAGTAGACACTACAGAATTACAGGGATGAATGTCAGGTAAAATAAAAAAAACTTTATTGAAAGTAAGCAAATGTCTTCAGTAGAAAGATACATGAAAATTGTAAAATACTTACTGTGGATATTTCTTTAGAAATGTCACTTAAGTTAAAAACAAGGATATAATCTTTGACTCCAGCATATAAAGTATTTGTTTCTTCACTCAGCAAGAGAGTAGAAAAATTGGACAGTCCTTGCTTTTCAAATATCTTTAGATTTTCAGCTTTAAAAAAAGGAATGTTTTAAAATGTTTAAATCTTTATTAAATATGATCTTGGATAGAATCAAATCTTTATATAGATGGTTAAAAACTGGTTTCTAGTTTCAGTTTCCACATATGGAGTTTTCTTGCATCCTTTTTGCTTTGAAATGTTGTCCATTGCCACAGGCACTTTTAAATGGAAAACTGGCTTATAAATGTACAAAAAGAAATCTATAACACAAGCATATTATATACTGTAAGTACTGGTATTTTACCAGTAATGTAAGTACTAGTATTTTATGCCAGATTTTAGTTTGGCATAAAAAATCATCTTGAAGGAAGTTCAGCCTTCCTAGTGAGGAAAGTTGGATAAGTCCATCTAATAATGTTTCAGGAGCTCTCAACATAAGCTTTATATTATAGTTGGCTCAAAAATCAGTCTAGCTCTGATCTTGACAGGGAGACAGGGACAAGCCAGATATTTTTAAAAGTTCACAGACTATACATTAATGCAAGATAACCATTCAATTTTTACTCATTGTAAAGATCCAATATGGTTATATTTACACAAAGCAATTCCATTTAATTTCCATAACTAATAAACAAGTGATGGGAGCCATATTCAATAAGAAATCGTCCTGTTGGACACATATTTCTGTAGTTTTTAATAGATTCAACAAGATGCTTACACTGGTATTTCACTGTTTTTCTTGGTATGATGTTCAGAAGATTACTCGCATCCTGCTGCTGAATTATTCCACAAAGCATTAGAAGACAAAAAGCAACTGTAGCGCCCATGGTTTTTAACTAGATTGTTGCATATTCTATGCATTGATTTCATGGAATTTCAGTCAAAAACACAAAAACAAACACAGAGATAATAATTAGTTTGTTCTACAATATTAATTTAAATGTTAAAGTTTTAATTGTTGATCAACTCCTTTATTGGGAAGGAAGGAAGGAAGGAAGGAAGGAAGGAAGGAAGGAAGGAAGGAAGGAAGGAAGGAAGGCTCTATTTCTAGATTCTAATTCCCAATTCTAGCTCATTATCTTTCAGGATTTTACTTTCTCCACCTTTTCTACCAAGAACCACTCCAAATTCTCCCCAATATTTCTGCCAGTAAACTCTTCCTCCTTCTATTGGTATCTCCAGGCAAGTCTACTCTACTCTCAATTTTTCATATCAGAGTGCCCAAATTGGAGGCACTCTGTTACTCTTCTCAGGATACTATCAACAGAATACCTTCCTCCACTCTAGATATATGGTATAGGACTGCAACTCACACCACCCTCAGCCAGTATTCAATTACATACATACACACAAACATACACACACATATAAATTTAATAAAATTCCTGCAATATCATGTTCTCAGAGCATATTAATTTTCCGCGAACTGGCACTTGTATTATTTTCACCTCTTTCTCCACCCTTCCTCAGTTTTTTCTATACTGACCTTAATTCCTCTCAGAGTTTACTATCCACCTAACTCTCCCCTTTTTCCCAGGTAAGGTCCATCCACCACCACCCCCCATTCCACTTCCCCCATTTTCTCCTCTGTCTCCTTCCCAATTAGCTTCTTTTATGACAGGCGTCTCAGGTCAAGAAGCCGCGCCTCACAACAAGGATCCCGCCATAATTAGCCAGGTTAGCGCTCCCTCAGACCCTCGAAAATGCCTCATTCAATGGGTGACATTATTTTTTTATCCCGCCTTTATTACTTTATAAGTAACCCAAGGCGGCAAACATTCCTCATACGCCTTCCTCCTCCTACTTTCCCCCCACCACTACCCCGTGAGGCGAGTTAGACTGACAAGAGGATGACTGGGCGAAAAGCACCCACCATGTTTTCATGCTTTTAAGACATCCCTTTTTCATATCCGTATTTGTAAGCACTCCAGAGGACCCCCCCGCCCCGCAATTATTTCGCCCGTCAGAAGCAAGCCAGCCAGCCAACCTCACCCCGGTTATAGCACACAGAGAACACCCACGCCCCTCTTCCTAACTACCCTAAGAAAGACCGTTGAGGCGAGGATTTAAATACTTCCCCACGCCCCTCCCCTTTATCTTAGCCACGCCCACCCAGCGTCCTGTTCGGCGCAGGGGTTCTTCCGAAGACCACGTGACCTTCGACCACTGGACAGTCGAACCTTTCGCTTAGTCAGGGGTAGGCAACCTTGGCTCTTTTATGACTCGTGGACTTCAACTCCCAGAATTCCTGAGCCAGCCATGCTGAGGGGACAGGGAGAGTTTTCCAAGCTGAGCCATGCTGGCTCAGGAATTCTGGGAGTTGAAGTCCACGAGTCACAAAAGAGCCAAGGTTCGCCTACCCCTGGCTTAGGTTTCTTCACGAAGAGCGAACTCCAGGACGTCTAGCGAGCAGGCTTTCTTCCCCTCTCTCTTGCTGTTTAACGACCGTCAGGATTTTTGCAGCCCGGATCAGGTGGCCCTAATCCATAAAATAACCCAGTTGACGATTACGAGGAAGTAATTTGGGTTTTTTTAAAAAGAAAAAATAACTGGGTTATTTTATTTGGGTGCTCCATCACGGGAAGCTTTTAAAAAGAGACTGGGCAGCTATTTGTCTGAAATGGTAGACGATCTCCTGCTTGAGCAGGGGGTTGGACTAGATGACCTCCAAGGTCCATTCCAGCTCGGTTATTTTGTTAACATGCTGGCTCAAGAATTCTGGGAGTTGAAGTCCACGATTCATAAGAGAGTCAAGGTTGCCTACTCCTGGGCTAGAATGATGGTTCTCAAGCATCTCAGGGAAAGTATAGAACTAAATGGACCTTCATTATTACATAGCAATAGCATGTAGACTTATAATAATAATAAAGTTAGAAGGGACCTTGGAGGGCATTGAGTCCAACCCCCTGCTCAGGCAGGAAAGCCTACACCATTTCAGACAAATGGCTGTCCAGTCTCTTCTTAAAAACTTCCAGTGTTGGAGCATTCACTGCTTCTGGAGGCAGGTTGTTCCATTGGTTAATTGTTCTAACTGTCAGAAAGTTTCTCCTTAGTTCTAAGTTGCTTCTCTCTTTGATCAGTTTCCACCGGTTGCTTCTCATCCTGCCTTCAAGCGCCTTGGAGAATAGCTTGACTCCCTCTTCTTTGTGGCAGCCCCTGAGATATTGGAACACTGCTATCATGTCCCCCCTCATTCACTCCATAGTGCTTTACAGAACTCTCTGGGCGGTTTACAATGTCAGCGTATTGCCCCCAACATCTGGCTCCTCATTTTACCAACATCAGAAGGATGAAAGGCTGAGTCAACCTCAAGCCCATGGGGGTCGAACTCCAGGATGTGGGCAGAGTTAGTCTGCAGTACTGCATTCTAACCACTGCCCTACCAGGACTCATTACATTCCACCTGCATTTTGAGGAACTGAGATTCATGTCTCATTGGACTGCATAGATTGGGCTTTTTAAGGTGAACCAAGGGCAAAGTCATGGTTCATCCAACAGCACATATAATAGCTTCTTCTGAGAGTATATAACAAGTCAAGCAATTATTGATTTTCAACTGTCTGGATATTTGGGAAAGAAGCGGCTCTTTGGATTTGAAATGTTTGTTATTTGTCTTTGGTCAAAATATGATAAATCTAACTTAAATGTTTTTAGGACCCATCTTGCTCCAGTGAGAGACTTACAAGTCTTACGCAGAAGAGCCCACTGACAGGAAACTATGTATGTATGTATTTCCCATCTTTGTTATTTTTACAAATAACTCCAGGCTCTGAACATATCCAACACTTTTTCCAATGAAGGCGAATATTTGTAGCTCAGGGTTGAAGTATCAATACTTCTTCCTCCTCTTCCCCCCCCCCATGTTCTGAGTTTCCATAATAGGACTGAAAAATGTAGAAGCTGAAATCAGTTTGCAAAATTGTCCACTGACCTGGAAGAGGTTCTGAGGCAGACGATGAAGATGCGCAGTGTGGTCCCTTGATGGCTACCTTCTGGGAGCTTGGATGTCACTTCACCCTTTTCTCACCCGTAGTTCTTAGGCTACCGTGGTTTGGGATGAGCAAGTGCCAGTAATAAATAAGACAGGCAACTCTAAAAAGTCCCATTTTCAAAATTTCAGCTTGCAGGACAGACGTACGTTGGAGAAGTAATTTTGTTCGGAAGACCATTTAAAAAATCAAAGTCATATTATCAATAATTAGGGAATTCGTTCCAATTTAAGTAATCAGAAAAAAGACGGTTGGGTAAAAGAAGAGTGGAGTAATTTCTGTCCTATTTCCTTGATTGGAAGCACTCTGGCTGTAAAATATTATGCACCTGTACCTCTAGCAACATGCTGCAGTCAGTTCTCATGTGTATCAGATGGCACATATAATGCAGTAGAAGTGCTGGACATGCTGAATTTAAAACACACAAGAGAACACTCTGTTCCAAGGTGACTCAGATTAAGCACATAAATCTTGGCTTGTCTTAGTGGGCCTTTCTTAATCTGGGAGAGCAATATTTCACAGAAAGGCCCAAAACAAGAACATAAAGACAGTGATCAGGATAGGCATATATAACACCTGCATGCTTCTACTATACATGCTTCTCTTATTCTTACAACACTATTATTCTGCATACTGCCATCAGGTTCCAAGAGAAACAAACCAAGCCCCAAGTTCAGATGATCCACTAAGTCAGGGGTAGGCAGCCTTGGCTCTTTTATGACTCGTGGACTCGTTGCCCAGAATTCCTGAGCCAGCTATGCCAAGGTTGCCTACCCCTGCATTACGTCAAATGAGCCACTTAACATGCAAGTGTATGTGAGATGAATACAGGTAGTCCTCGGCTTATGACCGCAACTGAGCTCAAAATTTATGTGAGACATTCGTTAAGTGAAATTTTGCCCCATTTTATGACTTTTGTTGCCACAGTTGTTAAGTGAGTCATTGCAACTGTTCAGTTAGTAACATAGTCGCTAAGTGAATCTGGCTTCCCCACTGACTTGGCTTGTCAGATCGCAAAAGGGGGATCACATGATCCCTGGCTGCTACAACCGTCGTAAATGAGCCAGTTGCCAAGCGTGCGAATGTTGATCATGTGACCCTGGGGATGCTGCAATGGTCATAAGTGTGAAAAATGGTCAAAAGTCACTTTTTTCAGTGCCATTGTAAATTTGAATGGTCACTAAATGAGCTTATAAGTCAAGGACTACGCCAAGTCACCAACTAACTATCAGGATAGTGTAGCGTGTTACTGAGTTTAAGGACTGAGCTGTTCAGGTTGTTAGCTGCACCCCCAGCCTGCTAGACACAATTAGAACAGCCTCTAGCAGCAGTGATATACGAGTGTACCATATATGTTTACAAATCTAGTCATCCAGTGTTATTAATTACTGCATTTAATCATCTGCCTCCTATGCATGGCATTTATAAGATTGGTTGTGCTAACCGGTTCCCTAAGAAAGTTTATGAATTAATCCATCAAAGTAATAAATGTGAGGGTTTTTTTTTTTTTTGAGGAATGACATGAGTGTGAACTAGTCAATCTATTTGTTTTGCTACTATCAATATTAATAGAGCATGAGCTCAGTCTGAAATAGATATCCAGAAAGGAAAAAAAGCTTCACGATTATATTCCTTCTCTAGAAGGATGTGAGACATCCTCTTCGAAGACAACCTTGGCACCATACAAGGTTAGATCAGCTTCATTGAGGAAACCCCACCAGATTCAACTTTTTGCTGCTTTTGGGGTACCTTCTATAATAATAATAATAATAGTTGGAAGGGACCTTGGAGGTAATCTAGTCCAACCCCCTACTCAGGCAGGAAACTCTACACCATTTCGGACAAATGGCTGTCCAGTCTCTTCTTAAAAACCTCCAGTGTTGGAGCATTCACAGCTTCTGGAGGCAGGTTGTTCCACTGGTTAATTGTTCTCACTGTCAGGAAGTTTCTCCTTAGTTCTAGGTTGCTTCTCTCCTTGATTAGTTTCTACCCGTTGCTTCTTGTCCTGCCTTCAGGCACTTTGGAGAATAGCTTCATTCCCTCTTCTTTGTGGCAGCCCCTGAGATATTGGAAGACTGCTATCATGTCCCCCTTCGTCCTTCTTTTCATTAAACTGGACATACCCAATTCCAGCAACTGTTCCTTATATGTTTTAGCCTCCAGTCCCCTAATCATCTTTGTTGCTCTGCACTGCACTGTCTCAGCATCTTTTTTACATCGTGGTGACCAAAACTGGATGCAGTATTCCAAGTGTGGCCTTACGAAGGCATTGTAAAGTGGCATGAATGCTTCATGTAGTTACTATTTAAAAGGGTGACCCAACTTTTCCCCCGAACATACCTTCCCTTCATAAGACAAGCACTTATTTGTAGATGCAAGAATTGAAACAAAAGCTGGCTTTTTCTACTGATTTTTTTTATTGTAGACCTTGATAAAAGGATTACATGCCATTAAGATATTTTAAAAGAAACGTTAAGATCAATCATTGGCTAACAATTTGCTATTCATTACTGGTCAATACTGATAGGTTTTACAAGAAGAAAGGAAAAATATCTGACTGAGGACTTCAAAAATCCAAACATTCCAAACCAAAATTGACACAGAAGAGAGAGACACCCTAGTGACGGGAGTGAAAAATGTTCTTGGATGCTTCTAATCTTCGTTATCAGAGAGCCTGGAAAACTAGAATAATAGAAAAGGTAGTGAACTGACACAGATTGAAACTGGATTTTTTTAAAAAACTGTTTTTATTTTTTTTTGCAAATGCAGTCAGGTGTTTGCTGGTAGATGTTGCCTGCTAAAGCAGGTTTCAAAACAGACAAACAAAAAACCACGAAGCTTGGTTAGGAAACCCAAATATCCAACATAGGATCGATTGAAAAGCAACACTTTAAAAGCACCAGTGCTGCTGCTGCTGTATAATTTTTGTCCCAGATCAAATCTTCATACAAGGAAGACTGATTAGAATCGCAATAATCTGGGAGGGCTGGAGGTAAATGTTTTTCTCCTTGTCACCACCCCCAAGTAAGAGAATTTGTATTTTTAAATGTTCGACCGTTCATTATATACTCGTGCAGCTCTGAAGCAAGCTGAAATCAGCAGGGTCACCCCCATCAAAACTGGGTTCAAAGAAACCATCATTTCCCCTGTCTGGAGATTTAGAGCCTTCAGTTGATGCCTCCCAAGAATTGACAGCTCAGTTTTGGCCCACAAAAGGCACAGAAAAACTGACTGAGAAAGTGCCCCCCCCCCAGAGCGTAAGAGAAAACATTTGAATATTCATCTCAATTGTTGCAAATTCTGAAGTTGAGAGAGAAAATGCTTTTAAAGCAACTTGAAAGAATAGGAAAGCTGACTATTAAACAAAACATATTTTTTTTAAAAAAAGGATGATTTAACCCAACAGAAGTTGCATGTCTAGAGTATTTCAAGTTTACAGATCAAACTAGTTGTTTTGATAGCAGGCAAACATTTGCGATGTGATGCTCTGTGATGTACAAGGAAAGAGAAATCAACAACCCTAAAAATAAGGAGCTAGAACAGAAAAAGATACAGAATGGTGTCTAGGCTTCAAGGCAGTGGTCCATTGGGTAGGACTGGATCCCAAAGGCCTGGAGGATGGGAATTACTTAGAATTCTTCAACAATTCAAATGCACTTGCAAATATTTCAGTTCAAGCAACGAAGCAGTTGATTTGTATCAATGGCTTCCGATTGTCTTAGAAAGTGATGGAACACATCATTTGTTGCTTGCTAGCCTGTTCTTCAAAGCTTTTATTCTGTGCCATGATTTTATCTGGCATTTCCTGGAGCTCTAAAGCTTGTCTCAAGAAAGCAACTAGGAGAATATAAAACTAGGTACTGCAATATAGGCCATCGCAAGTTTTTAAAATGAAAACGAGCATGGGGAATCATGCATATTTCAAACCCCACCCCAAAGTGGAATGTGGTGGGGAAAAGAAACTCCATGGCTGTGAGAATTGAAATACAAAAAAAAAAGGGTAATACCAATAAGATGAAGACATCTTCTGGAGACAATCATAGAAAAACTGAAAGACTTGACAAATTTGATGGCAAACACGCTACCGGAATTAAGAGATATGAGTAATCTGCAAGAATTTTAAAATCATATCAGGATGCTGCGAATAATCAGTTTTTAAGCTGGGTTTTACACCCAAGAGTCTTAATGGTACAAGATGTTATTTGATTAATGTAAGTCTTTGCCATATATGTGGCAGCCTTGGTAGACTCATGGAAAAAAGAGATGTTATCTTGAAGAGGTCCAATCGCCACCTTCAACAAACTGTAATCATATTTATTTAACAGGACATAAAATAGACATGCAAATTGCAGGCAGCTTTATCTCCTAAATACAAAGGAAGCTTCCTGAGAATATCATGGAAGTTAAGAAAAGGCAATCTGAGAATAGGAACAAAAGACACTCAGGCTGGCTTAAATACTGCACATATTTGGGGAGGAGGCCAGACACACTGATTGTTGGTAAAGGTCCCCAAAACAAGTTCATGAAATTTATGCTAAGGTAATGGTTTTGGTCTGCTGCCGAATTTTTCATAAGCAACTTCCCGGACTCCTGAATCGATGAAAATAGCAGAATTTACCAAATTTAATTATACTCCCAGAGGCGATGCATACTGGGAGTTCGTATTAAAGATGATAAAATTGACATGCTGACCTTGAGGAAAAAAATTGGAGGAATTTCACCTATTTGGGACAGGAATAATCCAGCCTACTTTGTTCCAAATAAATACAGTGGGCTCCCCTACTGTGTCCCAACAGGAAGGCCCACAATTCTGACCATAATTTAGCCAGCCTGGACATTGTCTATGCTGGTTAAGGTTGCTAGGAATTACAGCTTAAAACATTTGAAGGGGATATCATTATCAATTATTGTTAAGTCATAGGTGACTTTTGATGAAAAGCAGGACTGATTGCTCCTGCTTCTGAAAATCAGGTATCTTCTCTCAGGATACTGGAGATGTTTAAATTCTAGGCTTTTTGTATGTTGGGAGGGAACTGGGAAAGATCCAAAACTGAAATCAATTTCTTGCCAGACCAAACAGCAATAGAGGCATTCTAGCCCTCAAAACTTAACGTCAGTAATGTCATTCTGGATTTTCAACATGAATCAACAATGTGAAAAGCAGAAAAATCTCTGCAGACTTTTTTTTTTTTTTACTCTTGCAACAATTTAAAACAAAAACAACTGGCTCCGTTTTACACACCTACCTATTTATTGGCTCTTTTCATATAGTACATCTGGATCATTCTCTGACGGAACGTAGCAAAGGTATCCTCTTTGTTCTTCCCTGCAACACCCAAGCCCTCCCCTGCCGAGGTAGAGCCCCTACAGGAGGCAAACAAA